TGTCCAGTGCCAAAGTTAGTTACCATTCATTGCTTCCTTCATCATGGAGTCTGTCACCACACCTCACCAAGGAGGTGGTAGCGGAAATGCAGCAGGGTTTTAACTTAGAGGAGCTGGCAAAGGATAATATGAACACTATTAAAGGTGAGACTCATCTTTGTAATGCACTACCACAGTTATGGTAGGTATGGTTTTAGCACACAGCTCTCAAATAAGAGCCCTGTTTTAGAGACACATGATGAAGCTGTAACCTGTATTACACAGTTATTACTTACTTGGCCAGTCCTTTGTTTCCACTAATCTGCATGAACCTTTTTTTGAGTGCTTGAATCCTCCTGTTCTTTATACAGCCCTTCCTCTCAAATTCCTTATTTTGCCAAGTAATATTTTAACCAGAGTAAATCATATGCTGAAATCCAAAGCCTTGACTACATAGCTGCCTTCTCTGTGGTACCATGGGAAAAGTTGCTTCCTTGGAGACTTCCTCCTCACTGTTTCTTTATGGATTTTTTTTTAAGGGGGTGGTGATATATGGCTATCTTTGCCTGGCTCTGACCTGAAAGACAACCACTTGTGAGTCCTCTGCATTCCCTGAAACTTCATTCTGGGACCCCCCTTATAAGCCTTATGGGCATGCAGTCCCCTCTTTGGGGCAGCTTCCAGTGCTGCTTCCAGAATTCATGTTCCTGTAAGATTGAAATAGCTGTGTGGTTTGCACCTCCTCTTCAAGTCTGTCCATGTCTAACAATACATGTATATAACAACTTGATGCTTCAGATTTAAGATTGGGATGCATCCCCTTCACCGTAAAATTCTAGGGTCCATGCTGCTGCCAGTTTTAATCAGCATGTTAAAGTTACTAAATATTTTGAATAAGGCTGACCTAGTGGCTAGAGTACAAGACATGGAATCAGATTTTTTCCCAACTATACTACTGATTCACTCGAGGTCACTGGATAAATCTCTTAATCTGTCTGCTTGAATTTCTCCCATCTTGAGAAGGGGAGGAAACGGCATAAGGAAGAAGCTATGTACGGTATTTTAACTAAGAATCTATTTGTATGGGCAGTTTCTGGTAGTTTGTCAGACTGCTGTATTGTTAACTGATTGGTGACCATGGCTGTATGCTAACGTCAATTCAGAACTTGGATCCTCACTGCCACTCTTAAGTTTTATTTTCTTTCCTGCGGGGGATGGGAAGTTGATTCACCCTTTGGGAAATGGATACCCATATATATCTGTTCATTACATCTAGGTTCATCTGTTAACTTTATTAACAGAGGTGTCCAATATCTTTCACAGCTGTAAAATATCCCAATCTGGCAAGCAGTATCATTTTCCAGTCTTCTGGCTTGACCAATGGGACAATAGAAGAGAATGAACTAACTGAGGGAACATCAGAACTGGAGAACATGGAAACAAGTGAAGAAGGGGAGGATTTAACTGAAGATGACCAGGATAGTGATGAGGAAGAGGAAGCTGTTGAAGAGGCAAGATATAGCTGATAAAAACCAATCCGTATCATGGCTTGTAAATGGAGAGGGTATCCACTGTAGAGGTGGCAGGGGAAATCACCTAATCTCTCCCCCCAGAGGGTCTGTTAGCCTGACTACAAGAAGGGGAGGTAGAGAACTTTATTGTTATGGTCAAGAAAGTGACTGCCTAAGAATGGCACTATCTTGCTCAGACTTGTGCCTTGCATCTGTGTCCTGTCTTCATTTTAATGTAAATTTTTATGGGCTTTTTTTAAACCAGTTTTCTCCTTAAATCTGCAGAGCTAACAGCTCTGGAAGAGTGAGCTGGATTTTATTCTGGCTCATCCATCCACCAAATTGTTAATTGTCGGCTGTAGAATTCTCAGAAGCACATCATGGTGATGATGCAGGAGCCAGATAGAATCCACCTTGTCTTTCAGATCCTAGCATAAGTTTGTGGCAGTAGGGCTTAACTGAGTGAACTTGCTACAGAATCATTGAGCAACAAACTTGGAACTTCATAAAGTTTATTTTTATAGTCACTTTTTAAAGCACTGATTGAACAAAAGCTACTCAAAATGAATATAAAATTCTTCATCTTCAACTAACTTCTAGCTCCACTCGTCACTTGGAGGAAATCAAAACGTTTTCTTTTAACCTTCTCTGGTAAAGTCTCCAAACTATTTGTTAACAACTCAGTTCTGCTTACACTGGGAGAATGAGTTTGGTGTGTTATCATCCCTGCGTCTTCCTGAAATACTGGTTTATGGCAGCTTATCTGGTTTTAAATTTGAAGCTTGGCCATGAAGTAGTGCAACCTATAGCAGCTTTGGTGTGTTAAACCTTCCCATGCTGATTAACAAAACCTGTCTTTTCCTTATGTGCTCAAAATATATGAAATCTGACCATATTGCACTTGACAAACAATGGTTGAGCTGATGTGTTCCTAAAACACAGTAAGAACTGATATGGGTTGGTGTTTATAAAGTAGAGTGACTAGGCAACTCTTTAATAAGCTGCAAGCTATAACTGGTTTACTAGTTGTAGGAATTCCAGATTTATGTAATTCTGGAGCAAGTAGGTTTGATTTCCCAGCTCTGCTGTGCCAATGTAGTAACCCCAGTAGGGAAGCAGTCACCTCCCGTATGCTAAAATATCCACCTGTGAATGTCTGACCATGTAACAGATGGAAAAAATCCTATTAATCATTTCATTGGGAAAGAAGCTTACCTCTTCCCCTTACTCAGTTTTTAGTGGTAATTCTCACAGCGTGACTGAAGTGATCCTTGCCAAACTGTAATGTCTAATAATTCTGCATATGCTACTTGCCTACCATGAAGAATTTACATCTTTTTTTTTTTTTTTTTTTAAAGAAGAAGCTGGGAGGTTGAAGGTGAAGCCCAGTAGGATTGAGCAGTACACTGTAGCACAAGTCTTACTAGTTTGAGAATCTTTAAAAGAAAAAATCATCAGTGCCTTTGCAGTAATAGAGCTGGAAATGGTTAAAGCAGCACATGCTTTAGCTGTATGCTATATATAAAAATATTTAAACATTTAATAAAATTCTTTGAAATGGTAATGTGAATTGGAATCTGTACACCTGCTGCTCCGACACTGAAACTATATACCATTCCCACAGAACTGGTGCTCCTTATATCTGTTATAGTAGTCTTCCTATAAAGGGAAGTTTATTCCTACTGCTGACTGAAAAAACCAACAGCAATAATACCTGTAACTTTGTTTTAGGAAAGCGATGTTCAGACAAGCAGCAAAACAAACCCTGCAAAACTGAGCGTGGAGGATGGAAGCTTAGAAAAACAACCAGCAGGTATGTATTTAAAGCCAGTGACTTAAGTAATAAATGCATCATTCTCTGTAACAGTGTCAATCTTGTATTGATTTCAGTCTAACAGATTCTCTCTTCTGAAGGTGAACAGTCCCGTACTTTATCATTCAACTTGGATGAGACAACTGATCAGGATGATGCTTACGATTTTAATACAGATTATGTGTAAAGACAGAAAAACATACACTCAAAGGCCTAATTTTGAGAAGAGCATTGCTAACTTTCTAAGTAGCTATAAAACACTCTCTCCTTTGGCCTCTTTCAGTCCTATGGACCTTGCTTGCAAGACGCTGCTGCAAAGACCCAATATCTCTACTGACGTGAAATATTATATAGAATGCAACTTACACATGATTTTCAAACTTAATGTTTGTTTTCTAGAACTGTATACTTCAGCTTTGTAAATTTTGTAGTTCTCTAAACTTCTTTAAAAAGATTTTATTAAATTAATCTTAAGGACTACATAGTCTCTGAGTCTTCTATGTACTGTAGGAAAAAGTGCTTCAGAAGAAGTTACTCACTACTGTTTTCCATTTTGTACACCTCTACCCTGATATAACGCGGCCCGATATAACATGAATTTGGATATAACGCAGTAAAGCAGCGCTCTAGGGGGGAGGGGCTGCGCACTCCAGTGGATCAAAGCAAGTTCTATATAACGCGGTAAGATTTTTTGGCTCCCGAGGACAGCGTTATATCGGGGTAGAGGTGTATAAGATAAAAATTAAAGTTGACACAGTATAAACTATGAAATTGCAGATACTGTTTTCACCCTCACTCCATTCAGATCCCAAATACCTACACTAGGAAGAATCTAATCCTTAGCAAAAGGTATCAAAGCTCTTTCAACCACGGCAACTTCACAGTACAAAGTTATATAGTAATTACTAATCAAATTAACCCACAGAATTTAGTCTTGACTACATAAAAACCTTCCTACACTTAAAAAAAAAAAAGTCAAGCTAACTGTAACAGTCTCTATTCAATTCACACAGAAAATGTCTGTCTTGTGCATGCTTAATACCTTCAGCTTGGCGCAAACTTGAAAGGTGATAAAATGTATATTCTGCCTTACATGACAAGAGGTAAAAACCTCCTGCAACCCGCCTATTGCTACAGAAGAAGAAACCGTTTGCTGCAGAAACAGATCACAATAATACACCTTAAGGAATGCTAAAAATTGACATTCAATGTGTAACCTCTTCAATTACACTTACCAGCTGGGAGAAAAGGAGATGCACTTGCAAAACAGCTATGCTAGGACTCCAGCTGCTTGGCTCTGCCTAATTTAAAGGGCCAGGCTCAGAAAGGCATGCTGTGACATTTCCTTTAATAGGGCAGTGCTCCCCGATGAGTTACAAGAAACCAGACAATCACAAAAGAATGTGCTCCAGACAGAATAAGGGATAGTAGATATTAGATATATCTGACAGATATATTAAAAACAAGTTTATTACTAGCCTCAACTTTGCCAGTTCTCGCTGTACAGTGAAACCCTGCTATAATGCACCCCGTGATAATGCGAATTCGGATATAACGCGATGATCATAAGGTGGCTACGGCCGCCCCAAGCAGGGGGGGGGAAAAAAAAAGTGCCTTCCCCCCTCCCTCTTCCCCCCTATCCCCGCTTCTCCTTTTGGCAAGAAGAGCCATTCTCCTCCCCCGCTGCTCCTTGCTCTTCCTCTGCCCCTTGCATGTCTCCCCTGCTCTCCCCAAGCACATGGCTGAGTCCCCGCTGCTGGAGCTGCACCCTGTCAGTTACTTTTATGGGCAGTTCCCAAACCCAAGTGGTTTTCTGCCCAAGAGAAACTGACTGGCTTGAAATGGTAAATTTTTGTAACCCCGCTATACCGCGACCCTGCATTTATCGCGATCAAATTTCTTGGACCCCAATCATTGCGTTCTAGCGGGGTTTCACTGTAATTTTGATACTCCATCCAAATGGCAGGAGCAATAGTTAATCGCTTGATATTACTTGTTTCAGGCTCTAGAAATTGACATGGTTCTAATTTGAAAACTTAATTAATACTCAAGACATTTTGCATACTTTTCTTTTTACAATTAATTGAAGTGCCAAGGAAATTAATTTCTTTAAAAAATCACATTATTTCTTAATTAAATGCAAAATCTACTGAAACAGACAAGTTTCCACTACTAGACGAAGTACCATTTTCAAGACCAGAATGAGTTTTATATTCATCTGATGCTCAAATTACTTGAACAATTAACCTAAAATCATTTTATTTTTTAACAAAGTTTAGTTTATTCCACACCTTTAAAAACAGTTTGTGTTGTGTGGCAATCACATAAAAAACAATTCTCAGTGAAATAACACTTGAGGAGTCACCTTTGAAAAATATAGATTAAGTTCATACACGCAGTGAGACAGTGCAAGAAAGGGTTAAATATAAATGGTGAGTGGGTCTTCATGCAAGAGAGAGTGCGTTTTATAAAGCTCCATATATCAGAGGATAAGATACCAAGAAACCAGTAGCAGCTTTTGATTATAATAAATTGGTGTGCAAGATTTGCGTGTGGCTGTCACCCAGATAAACTGTTCCTACGAACAAGAGACATCTATTTCTGTAGCTGACAAAATATCAAACATAGACTAGCACTGGACTGGAAGAATGTAATTAAAAGGAATTACCTAGCAAAAATTCTAGTTCATGTAGGTGTTTCTCTGCTCTTCATAGTGCGGCTGGACTAAGTTTCCCCAATCATATTTGAAATAAGTCTCTTTTTCAGGGATGCAGTTTGGTACAGTTGATCATTTCACCTGAAAATGTACTTTCCCCTGTGCTCCAGAGAAGCAAAGACTGCTCTGTAATACAAATCAGCTGAAAGAAACACTGCTGGCTCCAAGAGTTTCCTGAGAAAATGACAATAGTTCATAAAATCCATTTACTTGGACTCAGAGATCTCAGAGTGTCTGCGGATCAGGCTGAACTTGCCAGTAGGATCCGGGATGTACCACTTCTCCCAGACATCAGCATATGAAGCTGTTCTTCCCCAGGGTTTGAAATGCCCATTCCAATGGAGCAACTTGGCAGCTTTCACAAACTGAGGAGAATACCTTTTTCCAGTGCTAGAGCCTTGTATTGAAAGAGAAGCAATTTGCAACTGCACATTAGAACGTGAAATAAAGGCAGTAAAATCATCTTAGCATGCAAGATTTTAACTTCACAGTTATGAGTTGCAGATGTAACAAGGGATGGCCTTAGTTTGAGGTATGGGGGACGGGATTGGCAAGTGAGTCAGTCATTACAAATTAAGACTTTTGGGGCCAGATTCTCAGGTACAGCTAAGCACTGCTTTGTGCCATTGCTCCTATTCTGGAGTCGTTGTGGCCTTCCAGTGTACTTCAGAGCATTCTTAGGGCTGCACTACTTGTAATAAAAACTAGGGCTGTCAAGCACTTAAAAAAATTAATCATGTTAAACAATAATAAAATACCATTTATTTAAATATTGTTGGATGTTTTCTACATTTTTGAATATATTGATTTCAATTATAACAGAATAAAGTGGTACAGTGCTCATTTTATATTTATTTTTGATTACAAGTATTTGCACTGTAAAAAAACAAAGTATTTTTCAATTCACCTAATACTGTACAAGTACTGTAGTGCAATCTCTTTATCATGAAAGTTTAACTTACAAATGTAGAATTATGTACCAAAAAAACTGCATTCAAAAATAAAACAATGTAAAATTTTAGAGGCTACAAGTCCACTCAGCCCTACTTCTTGTTCAGCCAATTGCTCAGACAAACAAGTTTGTTTATATTTGTAGGAGATAATGCTGCCCACTTCGTGTTTGCCTGTTCTCACTTTTTCAGGTGATGTATTCTCATGACACTGTTGTAGCCGGCGTCGCAAGATATTTACGTGCCAGATCCATTAAAGATTCATATGTCCTTTCATACTTCAACCACCATTCGAGGGGACATGCGTCCATGCTGAAGATGGGTTCTGCTCAATAACAATCCAAAGCAATGCGGATCAACACATGTTCATTTTCATTATCTGAGTCAGATATCACCAGCAGAAGGTTGACTTTATGTTTTGGTGATTTGGGTTCTGTAGTTGCTGCATCAGACTGTTGCTCTTTTAAGACTTCTAAAAGCATGCTCCACACCTCGTCCCTCTCAGATTTTGGAAAGCATGTCAGATTCTTAAACCTTGGGTCAAGTACTGTAGCTATCTTTAGAAATCTCACATTGGTACCTTCTTTGCATTTTGTCAAATCTGCAGTGAAAGTGTTCTTAAAATGAACATGTGCTGGGTTATCATCCGAGAGTGCTATAACATGAAATATATGGCAGAATGCAGGTAAAACAGAGCATGGAACATACAATTCTCCTCCAAGGAGTTCGGTCACAAATTTCATTAACACATTTTTTTTTAACGAGCATCATCAGCACGGAAGCTTGTCCTCTGGAATGGTGGCCGAAGCACGAAAGGGCATATGAATGTTTAGCATATCTGGCACATAAATACCTTGCAGTGCCAGCTACCATGCAAATGCCTGTTCTCACTTTCTGATGACATTGTAAATAAGAAGATGGGAGCATTATCTCCTGTAAATGTAAACAAACTTGTTTCTCTTAGCGATTGGCTGAACAAGAAGTAGGACTGAGTGGACTTGTAGGCGCTGAAGTTTTACAATGTTTTGTTTTTGAGTGCAGTTATGTAACAAAAAAAATTACATTTGTGAGTTGCACTTTCACGACAACGATTGAAAAATACTATTTCTTTTGTTTATCATTTTTACAGTAAATATTTATAATAAAAAAAATACTTTGATTTCAGTTACAACATAGAATACTATATATATATATATGAAAATTTAGAAAAACATCCAAAATATTTAATAAATTTCAATTGGCATTCTATTGTTTAACAGTGCGATTAAAATTGCGATTAATCACGATTAATTTTTTTTAGTTAATCGCGTGAGTTAACTGTGATTAATCGACAGCCCTAATAAAAACCAAAGTATGATCCACAGGCATTTGAGTTGAAATAGCAGCTCTGTTCTTCCAAATATACTATGAGGACACATCAGAGGGCATCTTCCAATATACTAAATGCGTTTAATAATGTAGAAAACTTGAAAGTAAGTTCAGCTTGTGCAAGCCCCCTGGCAGCTTAAAAAGCAGCAATCATTGGTTCTGAAATGAGGCTGCAGGAGCTCTGAAAGTGGGGAGAACAGTGTAAAGCAGAAAAAGATGCATCCCCGCCATCCCCCTGTGTGTGTGTGTGGGGGGGGAAGTCAATTTGCTGCATCAACACAACATTCAGCTATAGACCTGACAGAATGCATGTGGGGAGGTAGTAAGCATAGCAGGAGGGAATAATGTGTCAGGATTTCATTTCATACATACCAAGATGTCGGACGTTCCACATGGGATCAATATTAGAATGTTGCTTGTAAAATACAATTAGCAGTGGTGGTGTGGCAATGCTACCTGCCAGAGTTCTGCTGTATAAGTCCTCTCTAGAGGGGGAGATGAAGTTATTAGCTGAAGGTGCAGATACAGCTCTAGAATGGTCAATTTTCATATAACTACTTCACAGAGGAAAAGCATGCTGCATTCTGTCTGGCTAGCTACTTATGTAGACCCCACTATCCTTCATTCCACAGTGAATCTTCATCACAGTAACCCCAACCCCTGACTTGTCTACACCCGATTTCTGTATACTTACGCTACATTAAGTGTCATCCATTTCTCCAATTGCTTAGTGATGTTCTGTAGTTTCCATTCTGTTAGATTAGCAACAATGATCCCTGGATTGAAAGAGCAGGTGCTGGCTTTCATGGCGAGCTTCCGGATTGTTTGTTTCTTATAGTCTAAAAATCCAATATAATTGTACTGAAAACAGAGCAAAAAGTGGATTTTAGTTTTAACTGCTCCCAAATAAAATGCTCCCTCCCCCCTGCGCCATCACAGTTAAAAAAAATTTCAGTGCCCCTGGTAGAGCAGAGGATTGTTGTGTGGATAAAATATTTTCCCCTTCCTTTAGTACAGGATAGAGCCTGTGGTTTAAGAGGCACGACACCGTGTAAAGCTTTCACTATAGAAGTTTTCTTATGCTTTCAGGAACGCTCATTCACCTTAATACCTAAAATCTAAGATGTCACCAATCTCACCACTAGTCCGAGCATATTATATGCACACACAAACTAAATCTTATCTATAGAATGTTAAGTTCTAGACTGCACGTTCTTCACAGCAGCGTCTTACTCCCATTGTACAGCACAGTTGTAAATTCAAAGAGCTCTGATTATGTCTCTACTTTTGAATGTGATCTCAACTTGGCTTTCAGTAGTGCCCACAACTAACCACAGGTGCAATACTTCAGGGGCATTTTATAGCACTTGACCATCTGAGTAACTAATTTGTGGGTACAGTCAGATACTTGACTTCCTAGTGCCATAAAATTTATCAGCAAGTAAGTAGGAACAAACTCAGAGGCCAATTCTGAAAATGAGAGTCTGAAATATTGATATTATTTTATCTGAACTGTTCAGACCTGATTCCCTGCTCCACGGATGGCAAATTTATTAGAGGTTGAGTCACAGTCATCTGCAAATGCAGCTGCATGGCCAGGTTTCAGTGGTGTGTTGTGAAGTTCAAGGATATCATCTGAAAAATTCAAACCAAGTAGAGAATCAAAACACAAATATTGCTTAAGCTTTAGTTCATATGCTTTTTGTACACTCTGTTCCAGTGTTGATACCAACACAATCTTACCCAACTCAAAACAGAGCTACATCTTTTTAAACAAGAAATAGGGCCAGGACAATTAAATGTTTAAAAATATATTCCTTTAAATACAGTACATGCCAGTTATACACAAGCTTACATTATGTGGAAGTATACCTCTAACTCCTGCATCTCAAATTCTACTCTGGCCAAATCACCCTGCTGATCACTGGGGGCCTAATCCAACTCCCACTGAATACAACAGGAGCTGACATCAAAACCAAGGTCTTTTGTTTGAGAAATGGATTTTACATTAGAAATCATACATAATATAAAGCAGAGGTGGGCAAACTACGGCCCACGGGCCACATCCGGTCCACGGGACCCTCCTGCCCGGCCCCTGAGCTCCTGGCCTGGGAAGTTAGGCCCTGGCCCCTCCCCTGCTGTTCCCCTTCCCCCGCAGCCTCAGCTCGCTCTGCCGCCGGTGCAATGCTCTGGGCGGCGGGGCTTCAAGCTCCTGGAGCAGTGCAGCTGCAGAGCCACAGCCTGACCCGGTGCTCAGTGCTGCGCAGCTGGCTCCAGCCAGGCGGTGCGGCTGCCTATCCTGGTGCTCTGGGCGGCGCGGCTATACCGCCGCCAGCCACCGGTGCTCCAGGCAGCACGATAAGGGGGCAGGGAGGATGGATAGAGGACAGAGGAGTTCGGGATGGTGGTCGGGGGTGGGGGTGTGGCTAGGGGTCGGGGCGGTCAGAGGGCGGGGAACAGGGGGGTTGAATGGAGGCAGGAGTCCCCACGGGGCAGTCAGGAAGGGAGGGGGGGTTGGATGGGGTGGCGGGGGGCAGTCAGGGGACAGGTAACGGGGGGGTTGGAAGGGCCAGGAGTCCCGGGGGGGCTGTCAGGCGGCAAGAAGCAGGAAGGGGTGGGGCCGGGCCATGCCTGGCTGTTTGGGGTGGCACAGCCTCTGCTAACCGGCCCTCCATACAATTTTTGAAACTCGATGCGGCCCTCAGGCCAAAAAGTTTGCCCGCCCCTGATATAAAGGGAGTGAAATGAAAAATAATCTGGGGGGAAAAAAAAAGTCAAGTCCCTTGTTTGTTGCTGTGGTCTTGTTAGGTAAAGAATTTTCTCCCTAGAACACTGCAAGATTCACTAGGGAACTGAGAATTCTACAGTAGTTTTACTGCTAAAGTTGAAAGAACTTACATTTTTATTTTTGTAATAAAATACTTCTTTTGTGGGAGATTTAAACAGTTAGTAGAAATTAACATTAACATTGTCAAAGAAAAGGTGTTAGGAAAATCATGAGTTTTATTTTGCATATATAAAATATATTTTAGATGCTAAAATTACAATAACATCAACACTATCTTAACAACTTGGTTAAACTAGACAAGGTACAAATATGAGAGCCAGCAATCTTTATGCTTCACCAGGGCAAAAACTGACCAAGTAGGGATAGGAAAAAGTTTCTTCTGAATGTATAGACTTGCACAGATTAGGTGCATTTACAGGGTTATTGCACCTTTACATGGGGCAGAAGCATTTGGCTAATTTCTGAGACAGGATAGTGAACTATATCCATTCCACCAAGGCAATTCCTATTCACTTAGGAAGAAAATGTTCAGTACCTTGCACTATTACATCATCATCCATGTATATGGCCTTCTCTGCATGAGGAACGAACATAGGTAAGTAGAATCTTGCAAAGGTTAACTGTGAACACAAGCAAGCAAGAGAAATGAGAAAGTGACAGAGTAATGGGGAAATCTAACTGATATCCCAGCCACTAATTTTCTGGAAATGCCAGTACCCATGACAACATATTCAACAAAAGAAAAATAACCATCAAGGATGGGAGTTTTTTGCTTTTTAAAAAAAACAGTTAAGGGCAGAATTTTCAAAAATACCTAAATGACTTAGGAGCACAAGCTCCATTGAAAGTCGGTGGAACTAAGTCACTTCGACCCAGATCCTCAGAGGTAGTAAGGCTTCTAACTGCCATTAATTTAGGAGCCTAAGTACCACTGTTGATGTGGGCATTAGGCTCTTTTGAATATCACAGCCTAAATGTTCGTACGGCACTTCGGAAATATAAAGTGCTCCATATGGCCCTGCTTCTACAATGCAGTTAACTAGCCTGAGCACCTGCACAGAACTGCACTAACTCAGTGGAACTCCACACAAATGCAGGGATCAGTGCTAGCAGATCACATTTCAGAACTGGGGCCTACCTGATCTGTTTTAAAATATTTTGCTTATAATAGGAAAAATTAAGTTGGTATATCGTATTTCTTGGAATAACCAGCTATAATTGAACGATTCACTCATATTAATCATGACTAGATGCAAAGGGTTAATAATGTAATCAATGGACATTTATATAATACTTGTTATCCTGAAAGATTCCATTATACCAAGGAATTATATTTCTCACTAATGAAATGTAGCAATCTTTGAGTTCCAGAGCACACCAGCATTTTGCCTTAGTTTAGGATAGGAAGGGAATGACTCCTAATCCAAATGAAAATGTAGGTGGATTTTAGGGAACCAGAATGTACTTATCCAAATTGGAAAATGAACAGGACTTTGGAGTTAATACTTCTACTCTTGTGAAAAGAGCTCTGGGATATTTAATAACCACAAATTATCTGAAGGGATAGCATGTCCAACTGCAGAGCATCCCCTGCTGGTACATTGGTTTAGTACAGAATCAGAAGAGTGCCATATATTTAATTACCACAATCACTACCTAGCGTTAATCTCTATGGGGTAGGTTGTGCCTGCCTCATTATTTCTAAACTGAATATACAATTAAGTTTGGACAAGAAGCAAACTTTCACATCTATGAAAATACAGGTTAAAAACACACAGAGAATAAAGCTATAAAATAATAGCTATAAATCACAGATCTGTCCAGATATAACTAGTACGTCCGCCTACATCATTTATCAACATATGTTACCACTGATTCATATTTACAACAAATAACCAGCATCATACTCACTGGTTTTATGGAATCTGCCTGTTCAGACTCCACTTTCACTTTCCCTTCCAAAACACGAGGGTCGAAATCCAAAATTCGGTATTTCACCTTTTTCAGAGCAGTTTTACTCAGCCACGCCCTGCCCAGGGAAGAGAGGAAGAGGAGTGGCACATTTACAAAAAAGAATAAGCATGGTTAAATGAGAAATGAGATCAAATTAAACCAGAAATAAAGAGGAGATCATCCAAATGATAATGACACAAATAAGTGTCGGTCTGGTTACTCTAGCTTGGTTGTTTTCCCTAGCTATAAAATGTGCATGTAGTATATAATCTATTTGACTTCAGTACAGTGCTGTATGGATACAGAGATCTGCCTATATAGAGCTCGCTGCAGGATTGTGGCCCTAGGTGCTGGCTAATGGAATTTTCTGAGATTTACTTTTCAAGTCATTATAGTATTTAGCCTCAGAAACTCACGCTCCCATTACAAAAAGCATTACTCAAGATAATCAGTGTTAACTTTGACCTTCCAGTTAACTGGAGAAGGGAGATGGGGAAGGCAGAAAAGGGTCAAACATCAATCTAAAAATCTAAACTTCACTGCTAGGGCTCATCTTTCTATGATGGAACCTGTCTTCTATTAAAAAAATAATTTCCTCTATCTCATGTTTATCCTGTTTTCTTTAAGTATGCACAACAGCAGAGTGGGATATCATTCCTCTGCCACATTTATGGAAGCAAATTTCTTACAGTTCTTTTTTTAATGCTGTAAATTGAAATCTCTTACTAAATATCCCACCATTTGTGGCGGTTTTTTTGTGTGCAGCTGAAAGTCAAACAAATAAAAGAAGGATCAAGGGCCTCATACTGAGAAGTCAATGGGAGATAAGGGCACTCAGGACTTCAGAGAATTGGGACCTAAAATGAATACTAGTCATTGTCGGGAACAAGACAAACATGGGAAGAACCTGAATCCTTGGAAACTCTGGATTTTCTTGGCTCACTGGTTTTGACAGGTCCTCAGTGTTTACTTGTTGTAGTAAATTTTGTTTAAGTTAGGAAACAAAGAACACAGAAATCAAGCAAAGCAGAGCTACTCCACGCAGACTGCAGTCTACACCTGGAATGTTACAATTTCAAGAGGCACCTACAGCTGCTTCCTGAAAAAGAAATGATCACAAGGTCGGGTAATAAAGCAAACAGGTAGGATTGCAATCAGTTTTCAAAGGTCTGGATTGTTGGACCAGATGGTGTTTTCCTCTTCTGAAAGTTAATCCTGTCTGACATTAATGCAACAAGCTGAATCTGGAAAGCACAGTTTACCTCAAATGGTCCACTGTATCATTTAGAGTGACAATATGAAACACCACGTTGGATTTAGTGTTATGATAAATGCTGTTCATGGCTGCAATTACACCTCCAAGCCTGTCATCCGATGCTGTAATGACCACAGGAATTTCCTGATCATTTATTTCGTCAGTCAGCCTTTGAGGAGCCTCGGGTATGAAATCTATAGGCTGGAGTCCTAATGGACTTGAATCTGCAGGACAAGAGAATGGAATTATGTATATTTGTTCTACAAATAAATAAATTATTAGTGTTTGAAAATTCTTAACACCTCCAATTATTTCTATTTATACTGTTCTTAGAGACCCCAAGCAGGGATCAGAACTATTACAAGTTTTTAAAGCTAGGTTTTGTACAAACTTGTAATAGTAAAGACAATCCAAGCCCTGAACTTGTCATCTATATTAATCACAACACATGAAAATTACAATAATAATATTATGCAGACATATAGATTTCAACTCCCCAATGAGCCAGCATGGCAGGGTACACAGGAACATCAGAGCTCAGATTAAATTCCGTCCTTCATTCTTTAATTTCAAGGCTTTAGTAACACAGAGAGCTAAAGTGGGTCTTAGATACAATGAGCTGCACTCTCAGCTCAGCGCATAGTCTCCCTCGCTTCTACCCTTCCCAGCACCATCCTCTCTTCCAACTCTCTTTTTAATTCCTCTGAGACAGAAACCAAGGAAACACCATATTAATGCTGCTATGGTGTCATCTACTCCCCCAGCTGACAGTACACGAGTGTCTCACAGGCCTCCTAGATATCTAAAATGACCTAAACTGAACCCACAACTATTTATGCCTGCAATGTGCAGATACAAAAATGGATGTTGGTATTTTAAATTAGCCAATTGAACAGATTACCTAGGAATATGGTAAATTCTCCATCAATTGGAGTCTTTATATCAAAACTGGATATTTTTGAAATTATTGGACGCCATGCAGGAATCACTGGATTAAATTCTATGCCCTTTGTTAGGCAGAGTGTCAGACTTGATGGTCATAATGGCCCCTTCTGGTCTTAAAATCTATGAATGTCTGACTTGAGATACATAGCAATACTACTGCACCATCAAAGCTGTCATTTTTCACTAAATGTAGCTGCAGCACAAACTGCTGGATTCCATCTGTATTTGCATAGTCGTGACCCCATTACAATGAAGTCTACAGCAGACACCCTCATCAGGACCAACTTCCTCTTAGTTCTGAGGAAGTTAGTAAAAATCTAATGTTAATGGAGTACAGACATAAAATTTAGACAAAAAGACAGGAAATCCATGCATTCAAAATACACTTCATTATAGAAGGGATCTATTGTTATTACATTGCAGAAACCATTTTAGTATGGCAGAGGTTTGTTTCGGATTAGGTATGCATTGTGCTACTGATCTGAAAAGAAAACTCAATATAAAAAAAAAGCAACTGTACCTGCTACATCTCGTTTCAAAAAGTCACTGAGACCTAGAAGATTGTGATGCAGAACTAATAAAAATATAACAATAGCAAGTACAAGGATGGCAATGTTCACTGAAACAGAGAAGAAGAGAAAGGTAATTAGGATAATCTCACAGATCAGGAAAAGCTAACAGCACAAAAGTTCTTTATTTGTCTGCTTGTTTTAAATATGTACCTTTTCTGAATGTCATTTTTCCCTTGTGTCTTTGTTTATAAGTGAAGCCTCTTTACAAACCTGTAAGAGGAAAACATACAACAGTTACATTCCACTGCCTGTACATGCATATGGGAGACACGCTATGACTGAGGGTGTCAAAAATTTGTCACAGAACATGGTGAATATGCCTCTATTCATGAGCTAAAACTGCATTGTATTTTAATGCTCACCAGGTACTTACAGCTAAGTAGGCAGCCAGCTAGGGTGCCACCTCTAAGGGGGACATTCCATGTAATGAGAGGGAGAGAAACAGAGTGTCCATCTGGGGAGGAGGAATAAATAGTAAATTATGTTAAATTAGTACTTATACAGTGCTTTTCATCCACAGATCGCAAAGCACTTTATGAAGGTGGGCAAGGATCATAATCCCCATTTTACTGACAGAGAAACTGAGGCAGAGGGGCTACGTGATTTGCCCAAGCTCATCCTGCAAGTCAATGGCAAGGCTAAGCATAAATGCAGGTCTCCTGACTCCTAGTTCTGTGCCCCATCCACTTGAACGTGTTTACAGATTGAGAGAGTGTCCACTCAGATGGGGGTGGAGACAGAGATGAAGAACAGGACAATGTTTTAATGGAGATAATCCCCATTTTGCCTTAACCCAAACTTACTGTCAACTGGAAAAAGTGCATTTTTCCAGAAAAGACATGATGACTACATGATGAATTATGCAAATCCTTGAGCTATCAAACTAGCTCTGCATGGAAATACTTTAACATTCAGTTTGCACACCACTGAAACAACAGATCTCTTTTGTCTGTCGGGCACATTCTGTACGGCTTCTGGAGACTATGAATAGGTTCTTCTGAAGTTGAGCCAAACTATCCAACTATCCAAGCAAGACAGTGTCTCAGGAGCAGGGCAAATACACACACATATTTCCTCCAAAAGAGGCTAGGAAACCTTTTGATAAGTATAGTGCATTCTTTGCTCATTTAAATTCCTAGCAAAACATGTTATGCATTTTTCAAAACATGTCAGAATCTACACACCCCTAACGTAATGGAAGAACAGCAGCTGCAAGATCCCACACAGGACAATTAAAAAAAACAGTATAAGAACAGGTATGGCCATCAGTTTATGGAAGAAAAAACAAATAAACCTAAAGGCAGGATGCAACTTCTATACTACTTCACTTATAAAGACCACTACTGTAATCCTTGTATGGAATGTAGGAAAGTCAGGATATATGGCTCAAACATACTTATTCATCACTTAACTATGATGATGATAACAACAAATGTAGAACACAAAGTGCACATCCTGTAGAACGCCACTTAGCTTTCCAAATAACTTGTAGAAAACATTTACACTACTTTATAGAAAGTTTGCAATAGGTTGAAAAAGTGCTACATTAAATCAGCCACTGCAAAATCTGCAACTGGAAATAACAAATCACACAGAGAAAACACTTTGGCTCTATGTTACACATAATAGCCGTGCTAGTGCTGTTTTATTCCAGCTAGGGACTTTAACATCTCACACACATATCAAACAAGCGCCACATATCTTGGCATAATGTTATACATACAACACTGTCAAAGCTGTCAGCAAAAGAATGTAATCTAGCTTAGTTTTTTTTATACATAGAAATCGCTCTGTTGTGAGTCCTCACCTAAAACCTAAACATGCTGCAATGCTCTATCAGCAGATCCCCAGCACTCACTGTGAACCTAATATGATAAATCAACCTATGGAGGAAAACCAACTTCTCAAGGAAACTGGTTTCAAGTTTCTCAAGTTATCTGAAATGCTAAGGGAAAAATATTTTTAAAAAACCCACCTATGAAATAGGGCTGTCAATTAATCATAGTTAACTCACGCGATTAACTCAAAAACATTAATCATGATTTTTAAAATTAATCATTATTAATCACAGTTTTAATCACACTGTTAAACAACAGAATACCAATTGAAATGTGTTAAATATTTTTGCATGTTTTTCTACATTTTCAAATGCACCTCTACCCCGATATAACACTGTCCTCAGGAGCCAAAAAATCTTACTGCGTTATAGGTGAAACCGCGTTATACTGAACTTGCTTTGATCCGCCGGAGTGCACAGCCCCACCCCCCCAGAGCGCTGCTTTACCGCGTTATATCCGAATTCGTGTTATATCGGGTCACGTTATATCGGGATAGAGTTGTATACTGATTTCAATTACAACACAGAATACAAAGTGTGCAATGCTCACTTTATTATTTTTATTACAAACATTTGCACTGTAAAATGATAAATAATATTTTTCAATTCACCTCATACAATCTCTTTATCATGAAAGTGCAACTTACAAATGTAGATTTTTTTTGTTATGTGACTGCACTCAAAAACAAAACAATGTAAAACTTTAGAGTCTACAAGTCCATTCAGTCCTACTTCTTGTTCAGCCAATCGCTAAGACAAACAAATTTGTTTACATTTACAGGAGATAATGCTGCCCGCTTCTTATTTACAATGTCACCAGAAAGTGAGAACAGGCTTTTGTGTGGGACTTTTGTAGCTGGCATTGCAAGGTATTTACATGCCAGATATGCTAAACATTCGTATGCCCCTTCATGCTTCAGCCACCATTCCAGAGGACATGCTTCCATGCTGATGACGCACATTAAAAAAATAATGCATTAATTAAATTTGTGACTGAACTCCTTGGGGGGGGATTATATATCTCCAGCTCTATTTTACCCGCATTCTGCCATATATTTCATGTTATAGTAGTCTCAGATGATGACTCAGCACATGTTGTTCATTTTAAGAACACTTTCGCTGCAGATTTGACAAAATGCAAAGAAGGTACCAATGTGAGATTTCTAAAGCACTCGATCCAAGGTTTAAGAATCTGAAGAGCCTTCCAAAATCTGAGAGGGTGTTGCTCTGGATTTGAGGGATGTGTATACCCCAGAATGTGATGAAGTTAATTGCAACCATAGAACATGTAGTTAAGGGTTAATTTGGAGACAGGCTTTCAGAAGCAATGTCATATCTAGCTGGCAGTTTCTGCTAATCAGAATGGGAGGAGGGGACAAACAAGTAAACAACTGAGAAAACCTTGGAGGTTGGAAAACCTGGACGCCTCTGATATTAAAAGTTTATTGAAAGTAAGAAAAGTGATGTTATAGTAGAGGTCATTGTGATCTATGTGTTTTGTAGAAGTTAGTTATAAAAGATTAGCTAATACAGTGTACTTTGGAGCAGTCCTCTGAAATCATCTTGAGAGACGTTTTTCCTGATACCTTTTCTCCCAGGTGGGTGAGCAACTGGACATTGTGAACCTGCTGTTAATTACTCAATACTGTTCCAGATGTTAGGTAAATATCTGGGATGTTTTCAATTTATTGCTTATGTTTGTGTGTGCTTAAATCTAATAAACTTCAGTGTTAGACAAGAGCATGCTTACTTGCATGAATCTTATCAGACAGAATTGCTATGTTCCTGCTGATTTATTCCGTACACCACCTGGAGTGAAATAGTTAAGTTGCCCCTGCTGGGGGTTCTGAAAACCCTGGGTAACAAGAGATGAGGTGTGGAGCATGCTTTCAGAAGTCTTAAAAGAGCAACACTCCGCTGCAGAAAGTACAGAATCCGAACAACCAAAAAAGAAAATAAACCTTCTGCTGGTGGCATCTGACTCAGATTATTAAAATAAACATGCATCAGTCTGCACTGCTTTGGACTGTTATCGAGCAGAACCTGTCATCAGCATGAATAACACCAACAGACCCTGGTTGTCGGTGGGCAGGATCGAACCGGGGACATCTGGAGCTTAGTGCATGAACGTCTATCGCATGAGCTAAAAGCCAAATGGCTCTAGCTAAGGTTGTAGAGTAGACTCATTAATTGCTCTCCAAGTGATCTCGGTGCCACTAGATGGACAGAACACCACACCCAGAAGGTGTGTACGTTACGCATGTCCTCTGGAATGGTGGATGAATCATGAAGGGACATATGAATCTTTAGCGCATCTGGCATGTAAATATCTTGCGACGCCGGCTGCAACAGTGCCATGCAAACACCTGTTCTCACTTTCAGGTGACACTGTGAACAAGAAGCAGGCAGCATTATCTCTTGCAAATGTAAACAAACTTGTCTGTCTGAGCGATTGGCTGAACAAGAAATAGAACTGAGTGGACTTGTAGGCTCCAAAGTTTTACATTGTTTTATTTTTGAATGCAGTTATTTTTTGTACAAAATTCTACATTTGTAAGTACAACTTTCATGAAAAAGAGATTGCACTACAGTACTTGTATTAGGTGAATTGAAAAATACTATTTCTTTTGTTTTTTTACAGTGCAAACATTTGTAATAAAAAATAAATATAAAGTGAGCACTGTATACTTTGTATTCTGTGTTGTAATTGAAATCAATATATTTGAAAATGTAGAAAACATCCAAAATATTTAAATAAATGGTATTCTATTATTGTTTAACAGTGCAATTAATCGTGATTAATTTTTTTAATCGCTTAACATTCCTACTATGAAACATGCTTTACTGAAGTCTTTTTAAGTGATTAAAAACAAAGCAGTGTTAGACAAAAACATAAAGACGTGCCTCATTTATTAGTATGCAAAGTCAGAAAAGTAAACCCACTCTGAACAGTTTCCAGAGCAGTAAAAAAATGCAGTTTATTATCTTCCTACACAAAAACAGAAAAATTGTTTATTCATTGCTCAAAGTCTCTCTCCACACAGCAAACATGCAATATATGGGCCTGATTTTATAAACACTTGCTCAAATATATAATTTCATTGAGGTCATGTGGACTTCTCATGCAAACAAGGATTGGGCCCTACAATAATTACAGACAGAAAAAGAGTCATTGTGTGTGTATAATTATTACATAAATGTACATGTTTTTCTATGTCCTTTAATAGAACCAGAAAGGGTTTTGATTAAAGTATTGAGTATTTACTTTTTCTGAAAATACTTTCAGTGAAGACATATCCCCCCCCCGATTCACAAATACTGATGCACGTTCTTTTCTTTACATATAAGTAGCCCCATTCAAGTCAATGGAACTGCTCACAAGCATAAAGTTAAGCACATGCATTAGGTGTTTTCAGGATAAGACATAAGTGTATAATCAAGGGCTACACAGATGCTAAAAAAGGTAAGCACTGTGATCTTTTTTTCCTCTTTACAAATTAAGCAAATAGCAAGAGTTTATCACAACTAAACAAGTTTACCCTCAGACTTAATGATACAACTACAACCTTTGGTGGAATCTCATTTGTGCTAAACTACCTTGTGAGCAGTACAGAACTAGTTGTATTGAACATCAGATTTGCAGTCCCTATATATATATATATATATATATATATATATCTCGATTATCAGTAGTTGTCACACTCTCTGAAACTGAAGACCCCCTTTTCTGTTTTTAGGAGGGAAAAGGAAAAAATAGAAAGCTCCTTGTCAAATGCTTACATCTTTTACAAAAAGAACTAAAAAAAAGGGTTGGCACTTCAGGAACCCTCCCTCACCACCAAAATAATTTCAGATGTGACACATGTATGGCGCAGAGATAGGCTTCACTCTATTTCCTAATGATTCATCTGTTGCAGAACTGCACGGTTTAACACAGGGGTTCTTAAATTGGGGATCAGAACCCCTCAGGGGGTCACAAGGTTATTACAGGGGAGGTCACGAGCTGTCAGCCTCCACCCCAAACCCTGCTTTGCCTCCAGCATTTATAGTGGTGTTAAGTATGTAAAAAAGTGTTTTTAATTTATAAGGGGGGGGGTGCACACAGAGGCTTGCTATGTGAAAGGGGTCACCAGTACAAAAATTTGAGAATCACTGGTTTAACAGGCTCTAAAGGACCATTGCCCAGTGAACAAATTTAACGTTCTTGCATCAACATGGTAGGTCCCACACAGTTTAACTACATAAGTAATATCCCCACGAAGGCAGAAACAGCCCAGCTGGAACGCAGGCTACATGCCCAGCTTTGCAGACCTCAAGCGGGTAACATTTATATTTTAGACAAGGCACCCGATGTTTTCAGTCGCCTGCACCATACTGTGGGGCAGATCATGTGCCAAGGCAGGGGCGCTGCCAGGACTGCTTTGCCCAGGGCTGCGCTTTCTCTGCTGCCTGCCGAGCGGCACTGCTCGCCCCTTGCCCCTCGCAGCGATTGGTGCAGAGCTTAATTTGTAATGAAAAGGGTGCCTGGGCTCAAGCAATTTTTTTCCATTCACACCTGATGCAGCAAGCCCAGAGGTGCCGGGTCTATGAACTGCCAAGCCCCAAGTACTGGATCGGTGCCCCTGCCGGGGGGGGGCGAGACAGCCGCGGTGCTGAGAATACACCTTACCTGCGTGCCCGGGGAGTCGGGCTCCTCGCGCTCCCGGTCCCCGCCGCCAGGCAGCCCAGAGCCAAGTGCCAGCTCAACACAACACAGCGCTAGCCGCAGCAGCAGGCGGCTGTCAGCGGTTGGCCGGTCCTCGGGTATCCACCGCGCCGCCTGATTACAGAACAAGAACTGTGCGCCCCAATATTATTTAGGAAGGCACGTTAGACCTAGCACATCACAGGGCTACCCTCAAACCCGAGCTTGGAGCGAAGGGAAACAGCCCAGCCAGCGCACGTTCCGTCCGGCAGTGTGTTAGACACACCTATGCGCTAAGGACCCCGCACCTCAGGTCCTGGAGCGCTGTTAACTGTTGCCATGGAGACGCAGCCGAGTGTCGCGTAGGCCGCAGCGGAGCCGGGAGGCGGATTGTGGCTGGGGTTGGCTTTGGTGTCCTACTGGGGTCGGCCGCGGAGGCTGGTGCAGTTGTTCAGGCAGTTGGCTCGGACAGCTCCCTGCCGGAGGCTCACGGGAGATGGGGCGGAGCAAGGCTGCGCTGCTTCCGGCCAGCTCAGCGTCTATCTTCCGGACTCGGACCCGCTCCTTCGCCGCCGCTGGTGGAGTGTCGACGCGGGCTAGGCGGTCCGGCAGGGAAGCTGCCGCCCGCGAGATCTCGCCTCCCTCCTCCAAGGCCGGTGCCGACTTTGGCTCTCAGGACGCGCCTGAAGTTTCCCCTTCGGAGGCCTGCGCTTCTCAGGGCGGGGCGGGCAATTCCGAGGAGAGCAGCGAGAGCGGGGAGGCAGCCGGCGAGGCGACTTCCGTCGCTAGCACCATGCTGGACGTATTCGGCTCCATCCCCACCCAGATGGTAAGTGGGTCCCCAACTCCACAGGGAGCACCGCGGGCTGGATAATAAAACCAACCGGGCCAGTGCTCCGGGGGCCGCCTTACGCTGGACGCATCAGTCTCCCTCTCCTGGGGTTGGTCTAGCTCGGTTTCCATATCCAGCGCCACACTGTTCTATTGGCCTCGTACTGTGCAAGGGTTGTGTGCTGTAAACAACAGTACAGATCAGCTATTTTTCGTTACGACATGGTAATTAAGTAGTCAATGCTTCTGTGTACAGTAAGAATGCTGCCCACACTTTTGTGGCTGAGTTACTGCACAGCTGCAGTTACTGGGGATTTCTTGACTTGAAGTCTAACTGCTCACTTTTTTGTAGTATTCATCATCTTGGCTTAAAGTGAATGACATTAAGTGCAATGCCTACAACACTCCTCCACAAAAAGTAGCTATTCTAAAATATCTGGAAAGGGGTGAGAGATAGTACTTCATTAAACCATTTAAAAGTTCTATAGTGACAACTGCTGCAGCATCAGTCTACAGCACTGCAAACAGACTACTTCTGTCCAAGATGCTTGTGGCTATGGTATACCTAGCTGGGATGCAAGAATTAAAGCAAGCATGTTTCATCAGTTTACAGTTGTGTTCTTTTGAAATCTGTGGCCTTTGACTTTCTAATAGTCTCTTTCATGATGCTCCCCATCTTTTTTTCCCACCCAAAAGTTAGAACCATAGCTTGAAATATTGATTTTTGGTTTTTTTTTTACAGCAACATTTTGTACCCTCACCAAGTATTCTGGATATTAATGTAGACCGAATACTATTATCTCCAAGATGAGAGTATCTGGAATGCAGAAGACAGGATATGGTGCTGGATTCCAAATGCACGTGTGCTCAATTTCACATATCAATCACTGTTTGACATTGTTGACAGCGTGCAATTGCTGTTTTTTTTCTGGTGAAGTGGGGATATAACATACAAGGAGGAAAATATACCAACATGCCAATTAAATTACACACACCAGTCTTGCTATGTTCACTTCTTCACCAATATATGCATGCACTTATCTGCTGCTTATAACATAAGCTTCCTATGCAAATTAAATTTAATTCAGAATGAGGAAGCATGGTCCTTTGCTCGAAGCAGAGAGCTGGGCATTCTAGTACTGGCTCTGCCATAGATTGCATGAGACCTTCAGCAAGACAACCCGTTTCCCAGTTTTATAAAACGGGGGAAATATTGAATCAACACAAGGTGATTCTTTGCAAAGGGCTATAAAAATGCAAAGTGTGACTTTATAGAAAGGTGCATAAAAATGCAATAAATTAAACTTATTTTCTGCAATTTTAAATGCAACCTCCTCCTTATTAACTGTGATGTGACTTTGGGAGTCTGTGCAGATGTCCCTAACTCTTAATGACGGCCCAGAGTGCAGTTCCTGCTTTTTTGTGTTATCATTGGAGCTGTAGGAGACACTAGGCTGGAAATTTAAAATTTTTACAGCATAAAACCAAGATTTCTTTAAAGAATACACAAGAAAACATTCTAGTCTTAAGCATTTGTTTTGTATTCCACATCACTCACTACAAAGTCAGGGCACACATAGGCACAAGCTCTGTCTTTGTGGTACTTGATCGTGACAGAGGCTGCAAGAATTGTTTACTTGTTGGTGTAGATGGTTGGGTAATAACTTTTAACCATTTTTTCCCCCCACAGGACTACAAGGGTCAAAAACTAGCAGAACAGATTTTTCAAGGGATCATTCTTGTTTCTGCGGTAAGTATAATGGAGCTATAGTTAAAGCTGTTTTAGACATCCTTTAAAAATAAACTGATTATGGTCTGAAATCATCTTAGATTTTTAAAGCTTGAAGCAAATCAGCCAGACTGTCTTTGAATGAGACTTTAAACTAGTGGCTCGGAGGGGGGGGGGGGGAGTTACACTTCATCTATGATCAAAATACAATTAGACTGCAGTGATATTAGAGCAGGGGTTCTCAAACTGGGGGTCAGGACCCCTCAGGAGGTCATGAGCTGTCAACCTCCACCCCAAACTCTGCTTTGCCTCCAGCATTTATAATGGTGTTAAATATATACAAAAGTGTTTTTAATTTATAAGGGGGTCACACTCAGAGAAATGGGTCACCAGTAAAAAAGTCTGAGAGCCACTGTATTAGAGGATCGGTTATGGATTTTGGATTCCAGTTTAATTCAATGTCAAATTCCTTAATCCTGAAAAGACAGCATAGTTTAGTGGACTAAGCACAGGGCAAGAAGCCAAGAATTCTCGAGTTCTAATTGTAGCTCTGACTCTTCTATGTAGCCTTGGGTAAGTCACTTAACCTGTCTGCCTCACTTTTCATAGAAGTGGAGGAGTGTTTGCTACCTGCTTTATAAATGGCATTGAAAAGTCTAAATAGTTAAATACTCAGGCCTGGTCTACACTAACCCCCCAATTCGAACTAAGGTACGCAACTGTAGCTGAAATCGACGTACCTTAGTTCGAACTTACCGCGGTCCAGACGCGGCAGGCAGGCTCCCCCGTCGACTCATCGCGCCGAGCAGGATTACCGGAGTCGACGGCGAGCACTTCTGGGTTCGATTTATCGCGTCCAGACAAGACGCAATAAATCGAACCCAGAAGTTCGATTGCCTGCCGCCGAACCAGCGCGGTAAGTATAGACAAGCCCTCAGATACTGAAGGTGTTTCAATATGATCCTTTCACTATATTCTATAACGCCAAAAAAAAAAAAATTACATTAAGAGAATAAAGGATGCAAGGTCAAGCACTCAAGTGAAGAGATGCCAGAATTAAGGCTTCTTTCACACTCCAGATTTTTCCAGAAGCATTTAACAGCTGTGAGCTTCATACACTACAGGACTCCCATCTGCTAGTTAACTTTGTAACCACTGAGAGTGTTGTGCTGCAGGCCTGACAGCTGTTACAAGCTGTATACTACATAAAACCACATTGGTTAGAACTAGGGCTGTCAAGCAATTAAAAAAAATAAACCGTGATTATGCAATTAAAAAAATTAACCACGATTAATCACAGTTAATAGAATACCATTTATTTAAATATTTTGGATGTTTTCTAAATTAATATTGATTTCATTTACAACAGAACAGTGTACAGCGTTCACTTTATATTTATTACAAATATTTGTGCTATAAAAAACAAGAAATAGTATTTTTCAGTTCACCTCATACAATCTCTTTATCACGAAAGTTGAACTTACAAATGTAGAATTATGTACAAAAAAACTGCATTAAAAAATAAAAGAATGTAAAACTTTAGAGTCTACAAGTCCACTCAGTCTTACTTCTTGTTCAGTCAGGCACTCGGACAAACATGTTTGTTTACATTTATGGGAGATAATGCTGCCTGCTTCTTGTTTACGTCACCTGAAAGTGAGAACAGGTGGTCACATGGCACTTTTGTAGCTGGCGTTGCAAGATATTTAAGGGCTAGATGCATTAAAGATTCGTATGTCCCTTCATGCTTCAATCACCATTCCAGGGGACATGCAGCCATGCTAATAAGGGGTTCTGCTTGACAACGATCCAAAGCAGTGCAGACCAACGCATGTTCACTTTAATCATCTGAGTCAGATGCCACCAGCAGAAGGCTGATTTTCTTTTTTTGTGGTTCGGGTTCTGTAGTTTCCGCATCAGAGTGTTGCTCTTTTAAGACGTCTGAAACATGCTCCACACCTTGTCCCTCTCAAGTTTTGGAAGGCGCTTCAGATTCTTAAACCGTGGGTCAAGTGCTGTAACTATCCTTAGAAATCTCACATTGGTACCTTCTTTGCGTTTTGTCAAAACTGCAGTGAAAGTATTCTTAAAACAAACAACATATGCTAAGTCATCATCCGAGACTGCTATAACATGAAATATATGGTAGAATGCAGGTAAAACAGAGCAGGAGATAACTGTTCTCCCCCAAGGAGTTCAGTCACAAATTTAATTAATGCATTATTTTTTTAATGTGCGTCATCAGCATGGAAGCATGTCCTCTGGAATGGTGACTGAAGCATGAAGGGGCATACGAATGTTTAGCATGTCTGGCATGTAAATACCTTGCAATGGTGGCTACCACTTTCAGGTGACATAGTAAATGAGAAGCTAGCAGCATTATCTCCCGTAAATGTAAACAAACTTGTTTGGCTTAGTGACTGGCTGAACAAGAAGTAGGACTGAGTGGACTTGTAGACTCTAAAGTTTTACATTGTTTTATTTTTGAGTGCAGTTACGTAACAAAAAAAAATCTACATTTGTAAGTTGCACTTTCACAATAAAGAGATTGCATGAGGTGAACTGAAAATTATTTTACAGTGAAAATATTTCTAATAAAGTGAGCATTGTACACTTTGTATTCGGTGTTGTAATTGAAATTAATATATTTGAAAATGTAGAAAAACATCCAAAATATTTAATACATTTCAATTGGTATTCTATTGTTTAACAGTGCAATTAAAACTGCAATTAAACACGATTAATTTTTTTAATTGCAATTTTCTTCAGTTAATCGCATTAGTTAACTGCGATTAATCTACAGTCCTAGTTAGAACCCCTACAGCATAGCATTTCTGGGGATCATACAACACACACCCCTCTGAGAGAAGGGTCCATTAATACATAGTATATTATTTAGAAATTATTCCTAAAGTAAAGGAATAGCCAAAATATAGATTGAAAATATGTAAGTAGCTCGGGAAACTCCAGTTATGGAGTCAGGAAATTCATGTTGAGGTTCCAAAAACAACTTCCTGTCTGCTCTATGCAGAGGCCATATACCCACCCTCCATATCGTCCCTTCTAGTAAAAGCTATAGAACTTAAATATCCAAAGCAAAAACAGTATATATCAGACAAGCCAGCTTAGTGTCCAGTATAAACTGCAGGCTCAAACCTGCACCAATTCATTTTCATTAAACATAGTGCTGTTGTACCTCCCCTACATTTTATTTATCTAGTCTCACATGAAGCCAAGTACACCTTCTCCATAATGATTAGACACTAATTCATCATAAAAGCAGTTCCGTATCCTCTATATTTAAGTAAAATATTTATTCACATTCTGTTCTGCTTATGCCTATTCATTAGAAAAGTAGCTCCACATAAAAATTGTACTTCAGACTTTGCCGTACTGAAGAAACATCTAATTTTACTGTTATATTCATGAAGTTACTCTTAATTCACATAAAGACTATTCATATATAATAACTTAGTCCAACTATCCCAGCACTGATCTCAAACTACAGATACTCATTGGGTGTGTGTCAAACTAAGATTAAGGATTGTGTTGGAATTGTAATAAGTTTCCCAACTCATTAACATTTAGTGGTTTTGTAACTTATGTAATTGATTTTCCCTGTTTATGGGATTTTTTCAGAATTAACTGAAATCATTTTTGGTCTGGGAATGCTCATTAGGTTATTTTATTAAAATTGGTATTGCTTCTTCTAGGTAATTGGTTTCATCTATGGCTACATCGCGGAACAGTTTGGTTGGACTGTCTATATAGTTATGGCTGGGTTTGCTTTATCATGCCTGGTAAGACAAAATTACTTATAATTACTACATGATTACTAAAAATACTAATGGAGTTTCCAAAATTAAGTTGCCTGTTCATCAAATGCTGTTTTTACCTGAAACAGTGCTTAAATACAGACTACTAGCATTGACTAGATGAGCATAATACAAACAGATGCAATAGAAACTTTACATTATGCACTAATGCACTTTGATTCTGACCTCTGTTCTTCTAGTCCTGTACCTCCACTTAGCTTAGCCAATGTACCTTGTTTCTTATAGTCCAGTTCTGGTCCTAAGAGACTGATGTAAACAGGGACTCCAGTACAGAAGACTTCTATTGGTGATCTAAGTCACTAAATCAGATGTTCTCTTCAATCCGATAGACCTTCATCTTAAGTAATATTTTAATAAATCAGACCTTGTTCAGCTGATACTGCAAGTCCACATAATGAAGGTTGTGTAGTAGTAACAGTCCTAATTACATGCTAGATGAAGTTGGGGTTAGTGAGTTTTATATAATTAAACTTTCTTCCTTTACAGCTAACACTCCCTCCATGGCCTATGTACCGCCGCAATCCTCTGAAATGGCTACCTGTCCAAGAGTCGGGATCAGAAGATAAGAAGCCAGCAGAGAGAAAACTGAAAAGGCATACTAAAAGTTGAAGAATATGAACCCTCATGATGTAACATTGGATAATTTTGCTTCATTAAAGGTTTCTGTGATATTCCCAGTATGACACCTTCCTTTCTTAGTACTTTAGAGATTACTTGCTACTGTTAATATACCAGGATCCAACTCAAGGAACAGTACATTTGGGGTTGAGGAAAAACATGCAAATTGCCTCTAGCTAAAATTTTGCTAGGCTTTGCTGTGAAAGCAAAATGGGAAGTAAACATTAAATGAGTTTAAATTAAAAATGAATTTCAGGGTGCACTTAGGCAAGTTCTATGTTCTTGTAAGCTCTGCAGTTTAGTATTTCACTTGTAAGTAACACTGCCTGTAAAGTAATCAGTCTATTTAAGAAAACTGAGGAAATAGCTTGAATTAAAATATTGGTATCAGTAAAACATTTCAGCTGAAGTAGCCGTGGTGCATTTAACAAAGGTATTGAGTATAAAATAACCAGCTGATTTAGTTATGTGTATTGCATTTGCAAGTTCATGGCGGCTCAAAATTTTCAAATTTAAGTATACATATTATTACATAGAATTCAGGGACAAGTTTTGATTCCTGTGTAAAGCTGGGGAATTAAGTCTTTCTGGTCCTTGTGAGTGAACTGCCTTCTCCCTTTTTATGGAGAATCAGTCCTTTTTAATGTGATTTGGATGTGTATGTATGAATGTACACAAGTAAAATATGCCTACATCTAGTATCTGTAATGTGACAAGAATGAGGTAATATGAACTAGGCCTTTAGGAAGACTTTACCTAAAAGAATTTTAGTTGCAGCAAAGCTAACATGGAGTTGGGAATAGGGCAGATATAGATAGTGAACCGTTGTTTGGTGGTAAGGAGAAAGTTTAAAACCATAAAGACTAGTTTTATTCATGAATTCAAGCAATTTTAGTAGTTGGTCACATAGAAATGAAGCATAACAGTATGAGAAGTCTTAAGATTTTGTTGTTGTTTTTTGTTACTGAAACACAGCAACTTTGCAGGGTTGCTTTATAAGTGATTAAATTCCTTAGCCTGAAAAACTATCACTTTGATTGAGAGTACTCTGTTCTAAATGCATCAACTGTGTAATGGTGCAGAGTGGAATGGCTACACTACAGAATAGCTTAGGAGAGGAAATGAATACCAACACAACAGAAACTGGTGGGACTACTTGCTTAGCAAAATGTAAATATCCAATGTTAGGGGACTTATTCCTTCACCCTCTCACTTCCCTGGTCCTTCTCACATGAACAGAGAGCAACAATACCCAAGTCCAAAGGCGCAAACAATTCGATGTTTATTGGGGTGAACTTCCAGCAAGCATGATTCCAGTTTCCTTCCTTAGTGTCCCCCTTCCCAGCTCTGACACCACAGAATTTTGCCTATGTCCCTGTTCCCATTTCCCCCCCTTAACAAAACATGATCCCAATTTCCCCCACCCCCTGTTCCCATCCCTCCCCTTACTTCCTGATTGACTGCAGACTATATAGTAAAACTTGAGTTTTGCTTAGCTATACCTTAACCAATCATTTTACTGAAATTTAACTAACCAATCCTAACATACTGTAACATGGTTATTTAACCAATTATATCCCACAACCTTAATTGGTTTACACCCAACAAAATTAATTATACAGCAGACAGAAACAATCACAGAACCAGACAGCAATTATACAGACAAACAACAGGGAAGTGAAGACTACAGTGATAGAACAATACAGAAATGAGGATTTCACATTCCAGTTATTGATAAGTGAGTTCTTGCCAGACAGGATGCTATCAAACTAAGTTTCCTTTTACATCTTCTAGGCTCTTCTCTTTCTCTGGAGGTGATAGGAATACAATCCTATCCTGATATTCCTAACAGCCCAATAGCACTTTATTTCAATGTGACTAGTTTGGAATGTAAGGACGTGACCAGGCCTTAGACTGTCACAATAAGAGAAGGCCCTTAAACAGACAGTGATTTTGATTCTTTCTTTTATACCTCTATAACTAGTTAAGTGATAATACACCTAAATTCTTAAAGTATAGGCCTTTGCAGACAGGCCTGAATATCTATATCCTAACACTCCACCCCTTTTTTTCCCCTTTTTCTTTTGGGATCCTCCTGCCCAGGTATACTTGGAAAAGCATAGGGCGTATGGTGACACATTTCCTGATAGGGCCAGGCATCAAGGTGGAAGGTGTCGATATTCCATTTGTCGCGCTGCCTCTTGTGTAGCATAGTGCCCTGCACCTTCTCTTGTATGGGCATACCACATCTATTCCAATTAGTGTTCCAGACTTCCCATTATAGTGGGCCCAAGAAGGTTGGGTCCGGGTTGTCTAGTAGAGCTGGGAAGGGGGACACTAAGGAAGGAAACTGGAATCGTGCTTGCTGGAAGTTCACCCCAATAAACATCGAATTGTTTGCGCCTTTGGGTATTGTTGCTCTCTGTTCATGCGAAAAGGACCAGGGAAGTGAGAGGGTGAAGGAATAAGCCCCTTAACATGCAAATTGGCATTTGGCCAGGGTGCTGCCTCTTCTCTTGTGATCTTTAGTACCAACACTCCAATCTTTGCTTATTAAAAGTGATTTTGCTCTTCCCAGCTTGAAGGTGAACTATAAACCAAACATGCCCAGAACAGTGGGACTGAGGGAGATGCAGAAGCTGCAATGGATGTGGAGAACTGAGTTGAGCCTCCTCCCATTTTGTGAAGTCACCTACTCTAATGCACTTTGTGCTGATGATGGGCACTATTATTCTGCAGCATTTCTCTACATGAGCTATTCTGTAGGATAGAATATCTACTAAGCGTATTAAGGAAACTGGACATTTTGTAGACTTACTGAATATGGTTTTATTTTACAAAATTCAGATATCCTTGACTTAATTATCCCTTGAAAAATCAAAGATTTACAAACCTTCAGAACACTGATGCTGCAAAACACATTCTGTCAAACATTAGAACATAACAAAAGTATACAAAAAACTTACTATAAGACAAGTTGACAGATGAAATGGTACATTAAATAGACCAATTTATCTGAATGTACCTAGTCTTTCTTTAATCATTATTCCATTCCTAAAAGGAATTAGTATTTGCATTTGTTTTGGTTGGAGAAAACAATTCTAATCTAAACCTTGAACATGAGCTCTAAAGATGCCCAAAGGCTCAGAGTAAGGAGTCCATCTTTTTACTGTATCTTAAACAGTTTAAATTTTAAACCATTTCTAGAAACTGCAGTGAGTTTTTGCAGCTACAGAAATCACAATCAGCTCTCCATGCCAAACTGAGCTTTAGGTCTTAACTTCAGTACATTATAATTCTAATAATCCCACATTATAGGCTTAGCAAATGTTCCCAGTCACTTGGTGGTATAGTAAGAGACACAGTATGACTGAACCAGAAATTAGAACTAGATCTTATATTAGTTTACATACAGAATTTAGTACGTACTTTCTAGAAACAATTTCATACCCATAAAACACTCACTCAGTGAGACCAAAAGGCAAGTAGTGTAAAGTAAAAATCCAAATTAATATCAAATTTTTCTTCTGTAGAAAAAGTAATAGTCTTTCACATTTTAATATAAAAACATTACTAGTACTAATGCTGTAACAAAGATGTGCTGCTGTGCACAGGCAGATAAGCATTCCACTCTGTCAAGACCAGTTTACCTCTTTACCCAGATATGAAAAATCCATGGGTAAATAAGTACCACAAAATTAGTCTATACAGAATATGGAGATAATTCAGTCTACCAGACAACCTCTAAAAATAGGTCCTTGCTGCTTTTCTCTAACAGCTCTAAGGGAAGAAAGGTCCAGTTAAGTCACCTGGTCAAAACTTAACATTTTCTTCAAGAAACTTCAGATGGCGAGCCTTCACACTGTAATCTGTGTACTTCTCTCTCATGTGCTCCCGTAAGTGCAACTATTAAGCATAAAAGAAAGTCAGCTGTTTTTTTAATCAGAGACATGAATGCTGCTACCTGAGACTTACATTGAGGATACCAAAGCACCTTTAAATAAAAATGTCACATGAAAAGTTTGACCAATCAAAAGGGGGCGCTGATAACATTTAAACACAATCATAGTGTTGGCTCAAATAAAGAGCATATTCCAAAGTGCCACAGGTCAAAAGGAATTCCAGAATTAAAAGGTGTGAAATTTAAAACAACTTGAATTTTTGATTAAACTTGTCTGCATAATAATTTGTAGCCAAGGTTTGCATGGAAACAGCTAAAGATCTCTTAAGATTTAATCTACATTAATTAGGAAGATGAAAAACGGTTACTCACCTTCTCATAACTCTTGTTCTTAGATGTGTTGTTCATGTCCATTCCAATCAGGTGTGTGCATGCTGCGTGCGTGCCGGAATATGTTTCCCTTAGCAGTGTCCGTAGGGTCAGCCCAGGCACCCCCTGGAGTTGTGCCTTCATGGCGCCCAATATAGGGCCCTGCCGACCCGCCACTCCCTTAGTTCTTTCTTGCCAGCTACTCCGACAGAGGGGTAGGAGGGTGGGTATTAGAATGGACATGAACAACACATCTCGAAGAACAGTTACGAGAAGGTGAGTAACTGTTTTTTCTTCTTTGAGTGCTTGTTCATGTTCATTCCAATCGGGTGATTCACAAGCCTAAGTTCAGAAGGTGGGGTCAGTGTCTTCCACTGATTGGAGCACTGCTCGTCCGAAGGCTGCATCGGCTCTGGCCTGCTGGGTAATCGCATAGTGCGTTATGAAAGTGGAGGACCATGTTGCTGCTCTGCAAATTTCCTGGGTGGGAACCTGCACCAGGAATACCACTGAGGAGGCCTGAGCCCTGGTGGAGTGCGCTGTGATTGAAGGAGCGGGCACCTTTGCCAAGTTGTAGCACTCCCGAATGCATGATTTGATCCATGGCGAGATATGTTGAGAGGAGACAGGAAGACCTTTCATTCTGTCCGCCACTGCCACGAATAACTGAATGGACCTTCAGAATGGTTTTGGTCTCTCGATGTAGAAGGCCAGCGCTCTGTGGACATGCAATGAGTGAAGCCTTAGCTCCCTGGTGCTATATTAGGAAGAATACAGGGAGGAAGATGTCCTGGTTAATGTGAAATTGGGAGACAACCTTTAGGAGAAAACCCGGGTGAGACCCGAGTTGAACCTTGTCCTTCGGGAATACAATGTAAGGAGGTTAGGGCCCTAAGCTCAGCCACCCTCCTAGCTGAGGTTATCGCTACCAGAACACCACCTTGTATGAGAGAGCACGCGCGCGCAGGGAGCATGTCACCAAGGGCTCAAATGGTGATCCCATAAGCCTGAAAAGGACCAGATTGAGGTCCCAAGCCGGTATAGCCTGTTGAGACATTAAGGAAATGGCTGATTTACAAAGACTAAGGGCTGGTCCACACTAAGCCCCCAGTTCCAACTAAGATACGCAACTTCAGCTACGTGAATAACGTAGCTGAAGTCGAAGTATCTTAGTTCGAACTTAAAGGTACTTACCACGGGTCCACACACGGCAGGCAGGCTCCCCTGTCGACCCCGCGTACTCCTCTTGCGGAGCAGGAGTACCGGCGTCGACGGCGAGCACTTCCGGGATCGATTTATCGCGTCTAGACAAGACGCGATAAATCGATCCCAGAAGATCGATTGCTTGCCGCCGAATCAGCGGGTAAGTATAGACGTACCCTAAGCAGCCCCTCTGCACGTGGGTGGAAGGTGGAGATGGTGGCTAAGTGAACCCTTATTGACGACATAGACAGACCTTGCTGCTTAAGATGGAGAATATAGTCCAGTATAAGTGGCACCGAGGCGAGCGTCAGGGATGGGAGGTTCTCTGACCAGACTGAAAATCTCTTCCACTTGACAAGGTAGGTAGCTCCTGTCGAAGGTTTTCTGCTGCCAAGGAGAACTTGTCTGACTTGATCAGAGCAGGAGAGCTCCACTGAGACCAGAGGCCTCGTGTTCTGAGACCTCCCAAATGTGTCCCCCCCCCTGCCCCCCCCAGCCCAAGTCTGACGCGTTTGTCAGGAACGAGAGGGATGGCAGAGGGCTGGTGAAGGGGACCCCTGCACCTACTACCTTTGGGTCGAGCCACCACAGGAGGGAGTCGAGTACCGGGTGAGGCAGGGTTATAATCCTGTCCAAACTGTCCCGGACTGGCAGATACACTGACGCTAGCCATAACTGAAGATACAAGCCGCCATGTGTCCCAGAAGCGTCAGGCAATTCCTTGCTGTAGTGGTGGGGAACTACCTGAGACCCCATCTGTCGTCGCCCAGGGACCAAAACCTGGCTTGTATCTAGTCCAGCACTGCCCCTACAAACTCTATCCTCTGAACAGGGGACAGCGTTGATTCTCCTTTGTTTAGAAGGAGACCCAGTTCATCGAACGTCATTCTTATGAATGACCTGTGTCGCCACTTGAGACCTGGAGAGGCCCTTGATCAGCCAGTCGTCGAGGTATGGGAACACCTGTACCTGCCGCTTTCACAGGAACGCCACCACAACTGCCATGCACTTGGTGAACACTTGAGGAGCAGCTGACAGGCCAAATGGGAGGACAGTAAACTGATAGTGGTGGTTGTTGTAAACTGAGGTATTTTCTGTGGGACAGAATTATTGCTATGTGAAAGTATGCGTCCTTCAAGTTGAGGGCGGTATACCAGTCTCCTGGATCCAGTGAGGGGATAATGGAGGCCAAAGAGACCATGCGGAACTTGAGCTTCTTCACGAACTTGTTCAGTTCTCACACGTCTAGGATCGGCCTGAGCCCACACTTGGCTTTCGGTATTAGGAAATACCAGGCGTAGAAACCCTTGCCCCTTTGCTCCTGAGGAACCTCTTCCATTGCCCCTAGAGAGAGGCACGAGTGCATCTCCTGAATAAGGATTTGCTTGTGAGAGGAGTCCCTGAAGAGGGACAGGGAAGGGGGTTGGAAGGGCACAGAATTGGATGGAGTATCCCCTCTCTACCGTGCAGAGTACCCAGTGGTCCGAAGTGATACGTGACCATGCAAAGTAGAAAGGGGATAGTCGGGACAAAAAGGTAAGTCGGGGTAGATCCAGTTGTTGCACTGGTGCGCCGTCCTCGACGACACCCTCAAAAGGCTGGTCTGGGGCTGGGAGGTGTGTTGGGCTGGCCAGAGCCCTGGCCGAAGGACGGGTGCTGTCGTCTTCTGCCACTCCTATTTCTCCTCCGAGGAGCGTCCTGCTAGTTCTGTGGTTGGTAGAACTGTGAGGGAGGCTGCAGCCAGAAGTGCCTGCGCTGAGTGGCGGGAGTGTGGAGGCCCAAGACCTGAGGGTGGCCCTTGAGTCCTTTAGACTGGAGTCTTTTATCCGTTTTATCGGAAAATAGGGCCAAATCCTCGAAGGGGAGGTCCTGGATGGTTTGTTGGACCTTGTAGGGGAGACCAGAGACCTGCAACCAGGAACTCCTCATTGCAACCCCTGTGGCCATTGTGCAGGCGACTGCATCTGCCGCATCCAATGCGGCTTGTAGGGAAGCTCGGGAAATCAGTTTTTCTTCCTCCACCAGTGCCGAGAACTCCGCACGAGAGTCCTGCCAGCAAACTTGGCCATCACACCGCAGGTGTTGTGCAAGTATCTGCTAATGATGACCTGCTGGTTTGATATGCAGAGCTGCAGCCCCCAGCTTCCTCCCAAAAAGGTCTAGTCTTTTAGTGTCCCTATTTTTAGGGGAGGGGCCCTGGTAGCCGTGGCGCTCGCACTGGTTCGCTGCATCAACCACTAGGGAATCGGGATGTGGGTGGGTATATAGGTGCTCATATCCCTTTTAAGGGACAAAGTCCCACTCTCGTTTCTCTTGGCTGTAGGGGGCAGAGATGCTGGGGTCTGCCACAAGGTCTTTGTGGTCTCAGTAATAGTCTTTATTAATGGCAAGGCAATACGAGAGGGTCCGGAGGGGGCAAGGATGTCAACCATTGGGTCGGCATCCTCTACCACCTCCTCTGCCTGGATGCCCAGGTTCTGCTCCACTGGCCACAGAAGCTGTTGCAGGACCCTGTTGTCCTCCAAGGCTGGGGCTGTCCATGTCCCAGCCACCGTTTCGTCTGGGGAGGAAGAGGAGGAAAGTCCTGGCAATGGGCCCTGCTCACTCCTCTCAGCGCCCAGGGGGTCATGCAGCTAAAAGGTCTGTAGCCTGTGGTGCCAGGATCATCGGTGCCGGTGCTGAGGTTGCCAAGGTCGGAAGAGTCGGTGCCAACGCTGTCAACAGTGCTTGTAGAGGGATGAAGGACACCAAAGACACCGATGCGGACCTGGACCTTGACCCTTGGATTTGTCCCTGGCTCTGATGATACACCCAGGATGTCCAGAAGAGCCACTGAGTCAAGGGTTGCCACAGCACCAGATAGGGCTGGCGGTCACGGCGGGACCTGGAACTTGTGCTCCTGGTCCTATCGGAGTGGTAGAATTCTGCCTCCGACTCCTCAGTCAGAGAGGAGGAGGACCACAGAGGAGTGGTACTCCACGGTGCCGGGGAGCGGTGCTGAGAAACGGGACCGGTGCGGCTCCCCCACGTGGGTGGACCATGCTGGGGAGAAGCGAGATGGAGATCAGTATGCCATCATTGCCAGCTTGCCCTTTGATGGGAATGGGGGCCGGGCAGTCATAGGCAACTTGTCTCTCCTCTGCAGGAAGGACGGCACCATGAGGCGCATAAGGTCCGAGACGCCTCGAATGCCTCTGGCGTTGAGGGGAGCTGGAGCTGTCCGCCATGTCCAGCTGGAGAGTAATGAGGGTTCGGACTCAACTGTACCCCGGGGCGGAGGAGCCGAGGTGACGTTGCCCATTGGGTCTCCCTGCCGCAGGCTTCTTGGGCTTGGAGGGGGAAGAGCGACCCATCTCTGGCCTTTTATTTTTCTGGGGCACCGGGGACTGAGACCGGTGCCTGACAGAACACGGTCTATGGGCAGAGCCGTGGCGGTGCCGTGACTCCTTGGGGTCCTTCCTCAGTCCCGGCTCGTGCACCGTCAGCGCCGGAGCACTGCACACCGATGAGGAGGTGCTGGGCGTGGGTTCTGCTGACCCCGGGTCGGACTGTGGTCTGAGTGTCACCTCCATTAGAAGAATCTTGAGTCTTTGATCTCGGTCCTTCAAGGTGCTAGGGCAGAATCCTTTGCAAATTCTGCACTTCTCCTTCTGGTGGCTCTCCCCGAGGCACTGCAGACAGGAAGAGTGCGGTTCGCTCTTAGGCATAAACTTTCCACAGTCCTCATAGAGCTTGAACCCTGGGGACCGGGGCATACCCCAGAACCGGGGAAGCATTGTTGGGGGGGGAATCCCCAAAAGAAATCTTAAGAACTATGAACTATTAACTGACTACTTACATTAGAAGCTATAAACACGAAGAGCGGACACTGCCCAAACGCGCTCGCAAAGCAAGAGCAACAGTTTGTTCCAGCTAGTCGTCACCGGCGGTGAGAAGGAAATAAGGGGGTGGTGGGTTAACAGGGCCCTATATTGGGCGCCATGAGGCGCAACTCCAGGGGGCACCCAGGCCAACCCTCCGGACGCTGCTAAGGGGAAAATCTTCCAGCTGGTGTGCACGCAGCACGCACACACCTGATTGGAATTGACATGAACAAGCACTGAAAGAAGAAGGATCAGTTTCTGCCTTTGGATACATGTTCAAATACACATGCACAACTTCCAGTGAAGTCTGAAGACAGAATTTGGGCATTCAAAGTTGAACGCATAATGAAGATATGCTAATAGATTAATGTCAAAGTAGTCAAATCTCTTGTACCTTTTCCAAATTGGAAGATAAGGGTATATGGCATTGCTATCAACTTCCGAGTAGGATCAAAATTCAAGGCTGCTCCCCTTCTTACATTCTGAATCAATTACATTGCATACCATGGTAATTCGTGTAGTCAATATACATGAGTATGATACTGATTCTGCAAACAATTAAGCATGTGCTTAAGTCTTTGCAGGATCAGGGCCTATATCATTACATCAGATCAGTTTCTCAAGATATAAAAATGAAAACAATGCTCATTTAACCTTTGTGTGGAAGAAAAAAAGAAGCAAATACAGTTGACTACAGTATGTAGGAAAGACACTCACCTCTCTCTTCAGTTCATCATCTTCCTCCATGATGTCATATACTTTCTCTAGAAGTTTCACTCCCAGCCCTTGCACCACCTCAGACCTCAAAATTTCAACCATTCTTCTAATCTTTTCAGGACCAGATAAAACATCTAAAAAAATAATACAATTAACTATTTTTGCACTGACAATTTTAACAGTCATCTTATATGTACTAGAAGTACTTAGAGTGGTTGGTACCAGCAAAGGCCTGGGAGGTGGTTTAGGATTGTGGAATAGGCACATCAGCTGCATGTCTCTGATCAGCAGAAATACAATTAAATAGGTCAGTCATCAGAAGGTGACTACTAGGCCTCTATGCAGATGCAAGGTTCATACAGATTCAGTTTGCAAAATCAGGTCTTGGAGGGTCAGAGTTTCAGACTCAGAAAGACATCACTGTATTAGTGTATACTCTGATCATGTCGGGAAGGTTCTTTGTAGTCATTATGGTAGAAACATTTTTTTTAAATTAAGCTGATGTTCTGAAAATAATTGTGTGGCAAAAGGTGGATTCTACAACAAATTTCATAGCCATACAATATACAGAACCCTGATAGAGAGGTAAAAACAACAACACTTCAATCACTTTACATTTGAAAAACAAAAACAAATGTAAAAGTTAAGTATTGTATTTATACACAAGACAGAATAGCACGGGCTGCAGTATAGTCTTCCACCAGTGTGCCTCGACCTTTCAATCTTTCATTTCTCTGCTTAAACTGCAAACAAAGGATCCCACTTACGAATGTAGTTTTATGATAATGGAAGGTCGGCACCAGGAACAAAACAGAAAGTGCCAAAACTTTACTTTGGACACTGAAATCATCCAAAATTAATATGGCTGTCACTACTGACATAGGCCGGATTTAAGCCAATGATTCAAGGCTGAAAGATATCATATCCTATTAGCACCCTAAATCCCCTTTCTGCATTAACATGTGAAAGTAAAGGACTTGATCTAACCAGAAGAGATTGCAATTTAAGAAAATTTAAGCCACTGCACTTCCACCAGCACCTTCAAATTGGTTATAGATTTCCAGTACCAGCAGCTGTAAAATACCTGAGCAGATCACCACACTATTATAAATTTTGAAGTGCAGCTATGTGAGAAAAATTGACTATGTAAAAAGGCACTTCCTTACTGACCAAAATTTGCTCCCTGTACATTCACAGAGTCACGTCCGCTGACCACAGAGACAAAAGCTTTCAGTACATTTTACTCCTGTTATCTTTGCAGAACCGCCATAACTATGGGAGAGTTATCTTGATTCAATTCTGCTTTCTCAATCACCAGAAGAGAATCAGCTAGAATCCTTGTTACTTACAACACATGAGCCAGGAAGAACAGTTTGAGACTTTCAGATTCCAAGCTGATTTTTTTCCATCCAGCTTTTGACTTGCAAACTGAGCTCGAGCTCTGGGACCCTGCAAGGGGTGGGGAGGAAAGAGGATGAACCCAGAACCTGGGCTCCAGTGCAAGCCAGAACATCTACACTGCAATTTTTAACCCTGCAACACCAGCCTGGGTCAGCTGACCTGGGCCAACCACGGCCATGTCACAGATCTTTTATTCCAGTGCACAGTTACTCTGAAAGTCAAAAACAAACCTTAAGATGCCATTTTTAGAGTAGCATTTCAGAATATGACCACTCTTGTGAAGGCTGAATTTCAAAAGTTGATTTACCTGCATTGTTGCAAAATTAGAGAACTACTTGTAGCTGCAAAATAAGGACCCCATTCTGTGATGGGATCTCTGCAAGTGACTCCTGCATCTGCACAAAGCCCCAGGTTTTTAGATGCTGAGTTGAGTCCCATTTAAAGATTAAGCCTTAAAGGTGATCTGCAAAGCTTTACAGCAACTAAATTATTTGGAAGTTTTAAAGTTGTATTTTAAGACATTGATATCTACAATTTTTTATGATTTTAGATCTTAAATGGTTATTTAACACCTTCATAGTGTCGGTCACATATTGATAGATTACCTCATGGACCACCTTCTCTTCCATTCACAATTAGATGGAGCACCTCCCCTCCAACTGTCAAACAAACATCATCCCTGTGGCAACTACAGCAATTACTTAAGTGGAAAAGTGATATTAAAAATGTAATTAATTTTAGCCGCTTTCATGTGATTAACAGAGGAAAGGAGAACAGCCCCATGTGACTAGCCAGCTTCCTGTGGACCACCAGCAAGTGCTCTGCAAACCACTGGTGGTCCATAGACCACAGTTTAAGAACCACAATTTTAAAGCATTAACAGAGCTACAGACCTGAAGGAAATTCTTCAAATTTGAATTTCTCTGGTTCATTAGATACTTTTCCATGTAGGATCAGAGTGTCTCTGTATTTCCTATGAAGCTTGAACTCTGATGCAGGGGTTAGGATTGAAGGGTGTTCACAGTTCTCTTTAGAATCCATTTTCAGTGTCTGAGTCATTAGCTGTACCAAATCATTCATTTCATTTGTATTGCTTTTTCTAGAAAAGGAAAAAAATCTAATTCAATCCCAATCTCCATTTTGCAGTCAATGAAGACATTCCATAATCTTGTGATCTAAGCAGGCCCTGTTATGTACTCTGTGTTAAATTCTTGTTGCTATGCAGATCCATTGGTGGTGGTAGCAATGCAACAAGGCATAAGAGCTTTTAGCATCATTTCATATAACTTCTGCGCAAAGCAAGTCTTAATAACAAAGTTTAAGAACCCAGCCAGCCACCAACATCCAATCTACAGTAGCATTACCACCACTGGAAGTACAATGGAGGACAATTTTAAGAAAGATGCCAAATGTAGACAAGATCCTAGATAAATACTTCAGCTGAGCCCACAATGTCAGGAAAACCATGTTAGCAACTTTCCAAGTAATAGTTCTCAGTGTTTCCTGACACATTAGTTCCTCTCCTTGATGCTGGAAGATCAATTTCCTGGAAAGCATTCATGCCAGCACTTGGAGGCACAGCAGCCACACACAAAGAAGTTAAACACAGTAGATAAAGAACTGTGTGTCACAAAAGAGCAACAAACAAAAGGTATCTGATTCATTTACTGTGCAGCTCATCATAACACCACTATGCATCATCGTTGGAAACACATTTCTGCACACAGTTTTCCACACCAAGTTAAAGCACAATAAGGTACTTATTTGCAGTGTCAGTGACTACTGAATGTCTGCATGCAAGTAAGAAAACACTTACCCTTCCTTGGAATCTCCATCTGACTTATCTGTGGAGCTTGTGGAAGAGCTTAGCTCATCATCAGACAGACAATGGATTAATTTTTTTTTCTGTTATAGATTACAAAAAAAATTATTTTGTAGAATTAGGCATTTTATTCAATCAATAGTTTGTACTATAAGCATGGATTCTTTGAAGTATGTGACAAAATAAGCTTCAACAAGCACATTTTTACAATTTAACTTTATAAGTAAATACAAGGGACTTTTAAGTATTAAGTCCAAGAGTCAAAAGAAGATAGTTAAAGCACATACACCATCATCATATGCTCATTTAACTAGCATTAAACCTCACCTGTGCTGTTTCAACTTACACTGAATGCTTTGCCAAGTGTGTTACAGAGTTGGACAATTTGTGCCATGTTTAAGTCTGCGACCATGTGTAATTCCACTGGCAAATTCATGATAGAAAGGTAAAGCAGGTATCATTTGATTTTTAAAAATCTACAGAATCATAATTTCAGTGGTGTCACCCTCTGTGGCATGGTGGGGGGAGGGGAATTCACCTCCCACCCCACTGTCTCCCAGCCCCAGGTCCTCCAGTTGGTGGAAATGTTGATGACCAATTTCCAACAACATTGTACTAAGTTGGATATTATTCAAAATCCCTTTCTCCCATGAATACAATGGTACCAAACATGACAAACCTAGAACAATTATGCAGATACATATTAGAGAAAATATTTAAAATCAACATTTTTAAAATTATACTTTAAGACAGGCATATCAAACATGCAGCTCTCATAAAGTTAAACTGTGGCCCTTGACTGACTGTACTGTGTTACCAGTTAATGCTCAGAACATGATATCCCCTATTAATTTTTTTAAATGTTAGATTACTATAAATGAAAGGAGCGCTTCAAGTTGATTTGCTATCATTGGCAAAAAAAGCGGTTCACTGGTATTGATTATCAGCTTTGTTTATTATGCCAAAATAGTTGTAATGAGGCATTGCTTAAGATGTCAGCGTTCAGCTAGAAATTACTGGAATCCACCCGTGAATAGTATGCATACCGTTAAGTATCATTAATTACAATCCCAAAGTAATTATTACAAAATCCTTGTTTTTACTTTGGTCTTGATCAACTAGCAGCTGAATCTTTGGAGAATACCACCATGGAGGATGCGGTTAAACAACTCTTGGTGGTGTTGCCAGTTCCCTTCTGTGCACTTGGTTCAGATGAAGGCCTAGGACACGAAAACAGAGCAATGAAAGTCATTGGTGGGGGTGGGGGTGGGGAAGAGAGCAGGTAGTTCGTGGTCATAACACAGCATCTAAATGCTCTTTCCTGGATTTTCCTAACAACTCCAGAACACTTACGCATGGCTGGGATGGACTTCCCCAGAAATAACCAAGCTCCATCTAAACTCATTAGGTGCTGTTATATGCCAAGCAGGGACAATTTTAAAGCTACAGGATGAGCTTACTGGCAACCTATTTGCATATGACACTCCAGAGCTCATTAATATCATGACAAAAATCAGCCTTCAGTGATGAGATAGCTAAAGATGTCAGTCCAATGGATACTTTGGGTCATGACTTGTATGAAGCCTTCAAAACCCAAAGAATTATCCAAGGCTCCATTAATCTATGGGCTCCAATCAAGAACAGACTAAAGCTGTGCTCAAATGCAAAGAGAGTCAGAGTGAAGACGGCAGAGACTATTCTAGAGGTAACCACAGGGTCATTGTTCACTCATCTCCTGGTTATGTCCAGATCTCAGCATATTGTTGATTTACATGAGTGTTTGGGAAAGTACTCTAAGAAAGTACAATCGATGTTCAAATGTGATGGAACAATGCACGTGTATCAGGTGATAAGCAAACTAATGCACATCTTGCATAGTCTTCCTAGAACAGGACCTACTGCCAATATGACAACCAATACCTTATGCCAGCAGACCCCTTTGAGTATAACAATCATAGATGGTATGGCTGAGGTACAAGCTCTTGAAAAACCAGAAACTTAACACTTGCCAAGATTTGGCTGAACACTTCATTATGAGGCTACAGAGTAAATATTAGACCTATGATGAAATCCACCTTGTGTTTGACATATACACAGGAATCAATTAAAAATACTACCAGAAAGAAGTGGCTCCATGGCACTGCACCTATCCGATACCACAGTGGTTCTCAAACTGTGGGTCGGGACCCCAAAGTGGGTTGCAACCCCATTTTAATGGGGTTGCCAGGGCTGGCTTAGACTTGCTGGGGCCCAGGGCCAAAGCCCAAGCTCGAGGGCTTCAGTCCTGGGCAGCAGGGCTCAGGTTACAGGCCCCCTGCCTGGGGCTGAAGCCCTTGGGCTTTGGCCACCCCGACCGGGGAAGGTGGGGCTTTGGCTTTGCCCACCTGCCCCATCAGGTGGCAGGGCTTGGGCAGGCTCAGGCTTCAATCCTCCCCCTGCTGGGGTCCTGTCGTAATTTTTGTTGTCAGAAGGGGGTCACGGTGCAATTTGAAGTTTGAGAACCCCTGCGATACAAAAATCATTGACTCCATGAACATCTCCAATGTCATAATGAAGAAGCTACTGTCTCATACTCACATGAAGTATGAATTAACCACATACCCTGCAGGAAAAGCACTCATGCGAAGAACTACTGAGAGAATTTCATCATTGCATGGTATAATGAAGCTGCTGCCTCACACTGTTCAGTGGAGTTTCTTCTTAGTTACCATAAGGAAGCTAACACTAAAATTATCTTGCATATCATCAATGCCACGGGGAGAGGTGCTACTAAACTCTGCATTTTGGCATTAGACAGATGTTCCAGAGCTCTGAGAGACATTACCGAAGACTTCCTCAAGATTCTGCTGGGGAACAGAATTGTTGTATATCCCTCAGAGACGTGTTCCTATCACTTGGACCATTAAAAGCCACTGCACAGCAAGATTTCCATGTCCTTTCAGGATATGACACTATTGTATTTGGTTCAGCCTCTGAAGACTCTCTCCTCACTCTGAAGGTGCTTGGAACGGCTGATACAGTCACTGATGAGGTCATAAATGCACTGGACACATTCATACGGCGAGTTTACCATTTGAAGACCAACATTATGACACTTTCAGAGCTACATTGGTGGCTGTTTTCCAAGAAACAGAGAAAAACTGCCATTGACATGGTGTGCATTTATACCTCCTACCAAGAGGGCAAATTATCAAGCAATGGAGTGGTTCCAAGATGTTCAAGCACACCCAAAACTACATTCCCCTATTGGGCATGGATGAGTCTTGGAAGATGGACTGATCACAGCAGTTCTGTGAAATACCATGCGATCCTGAATCCACCCTTCAGCTAATCAAATGCTTGTGTGCAAAAACCAGATGCTCACCACCCTGCAAATGTTTGGCCAGCAGCCTGCCTTGTACAGAGATGTGCCAATGTGGCACAGAAGATGGTCAGCGTGACAGCAGGTCTAGAATTGGTGCCCTAGACAGAGATGACACTGATGATGACTTCAGTGAATAAATGTTTTCAGTCCTACATGTCAAGGATAACTTCCCTACGATCAACAAAGGTCAATGTCTTCAATGCATCTGTGTGTTAAAGTATAATAAAAAAAAAAGTTGATTTTAAAATATTTTCTCAAATATTTATCTACTTAATTGTTCTAGGTTTGTCATGCTTGTTACCATTGTGTTTGTGGGAGAAAGGGCTTTTAAATGATATCCAACTCAACCCACTTCCAATGATACAGTACTATCAACATTTCACCCACCAGAGAACCTGGACCAGAAAGCCGGGGCAGAGAATAGAGAGTCCCTCTGCCATACTGCAAAGGGCGACACCACTGAAATTATGACTTTGTAGATTTTTACTAATCAGATGACACCTCCCTTACTTCTCCATCACTAACTTGCCCATGGAATGAGATTTTTCTACATTATGCTCATTATGTTGGTCAATTCTCAGTTAATGACTTACTAATGACTACAGTATTTTAAAGAACCATTGTTCTTAGACTACAACGTATCAGTCTTTATAAAAATAAACTATAAATATATTAATACTTTGAAATCTATTTTTCTATTTATTCTCCAATGTCCCCCAAAATTTTCCATGGTGCTTCAAACCACTCTCCATTTGGACCTCTTAAATTTTGTGTGTTCAATCCTGAGGACAGCATGCAAAAAACTGCACATCACTAGCATATGTAAATATAATTTATATGCACTAAACCCATCTGTCCTTGATTTGTGTGCGCAGATGGGGTTTTTGCACGTAGATCTTATTTGCACACACAATAGCATGCAAAAAGACTGTACCTGCAAATGGTTGGGGTGAGGAGAGTTACATGAACAAACAGAAGTCACACTATGAAAATCTGGCACTTAAGTATCTTTGTTGGACCTCTTTCAAGTCCATATTTAGAAGCGTGCCTTTAAAGAAACTTCTACTTTGTGTAGTAAAATACATTTGTGATCTTACTAAAGCTATATATGAATTATGCAATGAAGATGTTAATGAAAATTAATCACTTCCATTATAAAATGTTTGAGAATTTGATTTAACAATTACTACTTTTGTCAGCACATAACTTTATGCATTAGCCAATAGGACTACAAATTGAGAAATAATCTTCAAACCCCAGTAAACAAACAGTATTAAGTATTCCAAGTAACCAACTGGCTTGAAAATGATTGTTGGGGGATTGTTTTATTGATATTTGATTTTCAGTGTGCCCACTCAAATGGCAGTTTTTTCATTTAAATTTTTTTTTTTTTACTAATTCTCTTCAATTGTGTATTTTTTTCTTTTCACAGCATCGGTTCCATAATATTTGTTTTAAGTAAATTTAGCAGATAAGCCAATCAGACTACATGAATGAACAAACCTCAGGGTATTTTGCAACTCACAGCAAGTGAAATTATTTATCTACAGTCAAAGCATAGTAGAGGAAGTGCCAGGGCGAGCTTCTCCCCAGTTATGGCTATCCATTCAATAAGCCATAACTATACTAACTGACTCATTCAATTCTTTGCCTCTGCTGAGTGAATTGACCTGAATTAGAAACTGATCTTACCAAATATAAAAGCTGAGTTAAAAGGTGAGTTCTTGGTATTTATTGTACCCAATGTCTTTTGCAGTAACAGCTTCAGAATAGCCATGCATTTTTATTGGCCAGGAGGTTCCTCTACGTGTACTACAGTATGTTATATTTTGTAAATACAAGCTCTTTTTGTTTATTTTTCTACTCAAATTTGGTCTGCATTTAAATATTTCAAAAGTAGATGACCCCAGTTTACCTGAGAAATACTGGGATCTGACGAGGTCTGAGTAACTTTAATAAGATTTTCCACAAGTGATTTTGCTTCAACTACCGCACTATGTGATGCTCGTCTTGCCGCAGGCACTAGAAGGATGACATTTTTACAACGTTTATTTTGAGTATGTACGAGGGAGAAACTAAAGTCTATCAGAATGTAGGTGTATGCTCTGTTAATTCCCCATACTGCTCTACCAAGGACTCTTAATTCTGGCTTTCACCATCCCTTGCTATTCCATTCCTGACCTGGGTCTCTCCACAAAGCTTTGCCAATGCACTTAAATGATGACATTCACCACACCTGCTATTTCAGTCCTGGGCCTCTCAAGCAGACTGCCCCTAATACCAGTTGTACAGTAGCTTTGTGATAGTGACATGAACAAGACCAAACTCATTTTTGTCGACTAATTCTGATCCTTTTCATCTTGTTTTGCAAACTGGGCACTGGTGACAGTAAAGCATTTTAGTATGTCCTCCAAGCATACTATCAGGGTCAGACATAAACTAGCCAACAAAAAACACAGGCTTCTAGTTGAAAAGTGCATTTCTTGTGGAAACGTCACATTGCCATCATTACAACCACTGAATGAGCATTAGAAAAATAAAAGTTGTGTTAAATAACTATTAACATCAAAGCTACATTTCAAATGCATCTTTTTTGAGGAAGTTAATACTAAAGACCAGATTGCAAATTAGTGTTTCCAAAGAGAAGCCATCCCACTGCATCAGTTGAAGAGTTAGCATGCAAAGTTACCAGAAGGAAACATCTTTTCTTGTGATTGTTTTAGCCTCCTCCTCTCTCTTGCAGACAACGGTCGATCCTTTAAATAAATCAAACCAATATTAATAGTGGCAGTCATGGTGGTTTTTCATTTTGTCATATTTGAAATTAAAACTTTTGTCTAAATGCACCTGGAAAAGATGGCTACTAACTAAAGTTTTCAGACAGTTCAGCATGCATTGTATTAATTTTTCCATGGTGATCTTGATCAACAAACCTAATTCCTGTAGGACAGGAGCCTCCAGCCTCCTTATTTCAATTAAGGGAAAGAGGAGCTGGCTTTCTTTCCTCCTACCTGATCAATCAGATGCAAGACAGAAATTTAATCACAGAGGATAACTTCTGTACATTTCTTTTCCCCACCCCACATGCTTTTGGAGCAAACTACTCAGAAGAAATAGTAAGAAAATGACAAAAATAAATATGCACATAAAATGTTCAGAACAAACCTCTGAAATTGCTCTCTCACTATTTTTAGAGCTGTTTACAGACTCTGTGACTTCAGTGCCACGCTGATCTGCAGGGCTATAAGTTGTCTTCACATTCACATCAGGAAGAGAAGGTAAGGGCCGCGGAGCAACTGCTCTGAGCTTAGAGAGAATTAGAAAGTGATTACAGTCTCATTTCCTCTTTCAACAAATTAAAATGCTTTGAAATCTAGAACTGCAAACACCAAGCTAGCAACCCAGGACTGGGAGTCAGGACTTTTGGGTCCTATTCACAATTCTACAATTGCCTTATTGTGCCCCCCCACCACCCACCCACACAACCACTTTTCCCTAACTTCCTTATATTCCCTGTCTACATTTAGCTAACACCCTCACAACAAAACCCTACGCAAAAACAACAACAAAAAATCATGGAACTAAAATGACATTTCAAGCTCACCACATTGTTCACTATGCTTGTATGTCTCATCCTTTTCCCCCAATCCTTGGTCTGTCTATTTACACTGTCAGCTCTCTCAGGGGATAGGGATTGTCTCTAACTACACTTCTACCCTGATATAACGCTGTCCTCGGCAGCCAAAAAATCTTACTGCGTTATAGGTGAAACCGCATTATATCGAACTTGCTTTGATCCGCTGAAGTGCGCAGCCACCCCGCACCCCCCGCCCGCCCAAGAGCGCTGCTTTACTGCGTTAATCCGAATTCGCATTATATTGGGGTAGAGGTGTATATGTTTCGTACAGTGCCAACCACAATAAGGATCCAGTCTTGCTGGGGGTCTCTGGGTACTACTGCAATAATAATAATAATGTCATGTAATCTTTCTGGGCTTCAATTTGCTCATGTCCCCTAGAAGGATTATAATTTTGTACCGCTGAGTGTTGAGAGGTTTACTATACAGTGCTTTGAGATCCTTGGACAAAAGGCACCCACAAAAGTATATTTCCAAGGCCCACAGAGTTACCCATTTTGTTATAAATGCAATTCTATGAATGTGTATGAAATGAGATTATACACAGATTGGAGATGGTTCAACTAATGGAAAGGATCTACAAACTGTTACAATCTTTTTGTAGGATGGGAAGAAAACTAAGGTAGTAGTACACTGCCATTTTAAAAGATCAAATTGTCAGATAAATTTTTATCTGCACCTTCTCTGAACAGTCTTCATCTATCTCCCTTTTCTTCTGCCATCGCTGCCGTGAGAGAGAAGGTTCACAGAAAGAGCTATGAGGCTGGAAGTGAAAAGTGAATTTTTCCTGAACATCTTCTGGATTTCCATGACAGGCTTCATCCTAAAAAGTAAAAATATTTTTCTAATCTTTAGGCATGTTTTCTCCTGATTCCAACATAGACTTGTTCTTGCACCTACAGTAACTCCTCACTTAAAGTCGTCCCGGTTACCTTGCTGATCAGTTAGGGAACATGCTCGTTTAAAGTTATGTAATGCTCCCTTCTAACATCGTTTGGCAGCTGCCTGCTTTACTACTGCTTGCAGGAAGAGCAGTCCATTGCAGCTAGCTGGTGGGGGCTTGGAACCAGGGGGGACCGGCAGCCCCCGTATCAGCTCCCTAAATTCCCTGTTTAGCAGCTGCCCAGCAGGCTAGCAATTGCAGCTGTCCCTCCCCCCACTGCCATGTGCTGCTCCTGCCCTCTGCCTTGGAGCTGCTCCCCAAGACTACTGCTTGCTGTGCCGGGGGGGGGGAGGGAAAGAACAAGGGGGGCTAATGTCAGAGTGTCCCCCTCCCCCCTGCACCTCGCTTACCCCATCTTCCATAGAGCAAGGGGGACACACCAGGGCTCAGGAAGGAGGGAGCTTGCTGATCTAATTAACAAGGCAGTGTACTTAAAGGGGAAATGTGCATATCTCCCTCCCTTCCTCCTGCCTTGTAGAGTGAGAGAGTTAACCCTTGAGGGCTCAGCCAATTGCTAGTTCATCATTTAGCAGTAAGGGAAATATCCCACCCTCTGACTCCTCCACTTCAACCAAGCTTCACAATCATCATCACTGTGTACCAGTTTTAAAGTGTAAGTGTAAGTGTGTAGTCTTGTCTGGTGAAAAAAATTTCCCTGGAACCTAACCCCCTCATTTACATTAATTCTTATGGGGAAATTGGATTCGCTTAACATCGTTTCGCTTAAAGTCGCATTTTTCAGGAACATAACTACAACGTTAAGTGAGGAGTTACTGTATTGACAAAGGCCACTTAACCCTTTGGAATGCTATGGATTTTATCTTAATCACAACCACATAAACATCTATTTGGTTGTCAGTCTGCAAAAATGACTGCAATCTCTTCTTTTAAATTACAGACAGGGGAAAAAAAATCAATCAATAAATAAAATAAACCACCCCAAAAAAACCAACCAAAAACACTACATTAACATTGCAACAAGGTGAACGTTTTAAATAAACTGAAGTTAGAACATTCAAAATTATGCTCCCCATCACAGTTAGCATGTTAGCTGAATAGGAAACCATAAACAAATTTCACAAATTCTGTACACTCATGTCTCTATCGTAATACTGCAATATCCAGTTTTAGTATTTTACAACAAATACGTGTTAGCAAAATTTCAGATATGTTCCGCCATTCTAATAGCAACTTCAGAAAACCAATTTGTAATGCAATAATAATAAAAAAAATTTGATTTCTCCAAAAATCAAATATTCTAGGGGAAAAGATAGTCACCAGACAACATCATTTGAGATTTCCCTTTAAAGAAATACAACTATTTTAAAGCCAACAAACTAAGCAGAATTATAATGCTAGAACACTTACTTGAATTAGGACAGGAACAAACGATGCTAGAAGCTTCTCAGTGGAGTCCAAGCTCTGAAATAAGAAGTTACTACATTTTCATGAACAAACTAAAATAAGAGCAAGCTTAGTAAAGTGTATATATTAGCAATGCAAGAAAGACAGGCTTTAAAAGTCTCATTCTAGAACAGAACTTGGTGAATCACTAAGTGAATAAAACAACATCCTTATATAAGATTGAATGGAAATGACAGCTGCACGTTCAGGACAGACCTACTGTTTAAATCCAAGGCATAAGACAATACGGAAATCAACTGTATTTTACTTTAATATACTTTCATTAAGAGCCAAAATATTGCTGGCCCTGTGCATGTGCACTAGAGAGAGACAAGGGCAAAGAAGCCCTTTACCCGCTTCCCCAGCACATTCATGTAAGAGAATCATTTTGGCTGCAGATGCTGAAGAGTGCAGGGGAAAGGGCAATGGTCAATGTTTCTGCGTCCACCAATCACCCAAATGAGGCACTCTGGAAGCCGGAAAGGAGGGAGGGCCAGGATACTTTAACATTTTCCCCCGTTGCAAGGCTTCTCTTTTCTGTTAGTCTCATTTCCTGTTTACTCCTTCACTCTTCTCTTTAGTAATCACATCTCCATTAAACAAATTTTCCTTTCCCCTCCTTCTGTCTTCCTTTAAAATCTCTTCATCTCTCTCTTCCTCCTTCCCTTCAGTTTCTTCCCCTACATTTTCATTCCACCATCCTGCACCTTCTCTAACTCCATTTCCATTATACTCTCCCTTCCTCCGCCAATCCCCATCCCAAATTAGGGCTAAACATAGCAGATAGAGAAGCATAGTCCGTTTGGAACAGGGATATAGGAGCTCCGAACATTTTCTTGCCTCGTCCTTTTACAACTGGAAGCAGACAATTTTTGATCCCAGGCAAGAACAATAAAGACAATTAAGGTTTGAGCCCCAGCCTTTGTCTTATACAGAAGCAGTGCTGCAGGGATACTAGGGCTTCTAATTCAGTGGCTCTCAAACTTTTTTTTACTGGTGACCCTTTTCACATAGCAAGTCTCTGAGTGTGACCCCCCTTATAAATTAAAAACACTTTTTTATATATTTAACACCATTATAAATGCTGGAGGCAAAGCGGCGTTTGGGGTGGAGGGTGACAGCTCACGATCCCCCATGTAATAATCTCGCAACCCCGAGGGGTCCTGATCCCCAGTTCTAACTGCTTCGGCACCCCAAGAGCCTGATCAGAAGTGCCCCACTTTGAAAGGTAACATTTGTTCAGCTTTGTTCTTTCTATAAACCATTCACTAGTGCTTCTACCAAGCACATTTAAGAGTTAAATAATTACCTGGTCATCATTTTGCTTTCGGTCCTTTGAGACAGGCTGCAGGAGTTTCAAAGTGTCATCTCCTTCATCTGCAACATCAACAGCAAAGTGCTTAGAATCCACAATTTCAGTTCTAGAACCTGGCTTTGAGTTTTGCTGTAGTCTGTCTTCCTTAGTCTGTGGGCCATTAGATGTTATTTTAGATTCTACTTCACTAGGAATGCTTAAGCACCTTGCTTTGTTATCCTGTAGTAAGTGATCACTTTTACAGTTCCTCCTTTCAGACAGTAAAATATCAATATCCACTTTGCTAATTGTTGCTATGGAAACTCCTGTGCTGTTCTTCTCATTCTTGTTTGCATTTTTTTCAGGCTCAGCTGCTGGTTTCTCTGAGGGATAAATTTCAAAAGTTTGATCTTTGATTAAATGTTTTTCTTCATTCTGTAATTAAAAAATAGCAGAAGTGGAATTACCCTCTGAGGAATATTTTAAATGCTCCAAGAAGTCACCTGCATACCAGACAGTACATAAAGTGATAGTGAAACAAAATCATAATCAAGTACTATTTGGAAGCATCAATAAGGGGTATAACAAAGACTCTCATAAGCTTTTAAGTCTGATGAGAAGCTTGGCACTTCGGATGTCAACACAGCCTATTCCATAAGTAAAGCACCCACTTTGCCCCTATGATCACAAGTGATAAACCGGGTTCTCCTAGTAGCTCTCCAAAATGTATTAAACCACATGTTTAAGGCTTCAATATTAAAACTAACACCAACTGGCAAACAGTGCAGAAAATGAACAGCGGGCAAGTGATTCATCTTTGTGACTCGATCTATTTGGATCACTGTAAAGCAGTGGTTCCCAAACTGGGGTTCGTGAAATGTTACAGGGGGTTCTTGGGGGAAAATTCCCTAATGGCAGATAGAGCTGTCCCTAGGGACCCCGGGCAGCACAGGGCCAGCAGCCCAGAGCCCCTGGACTTCCAAGAGCTAAGCAGATCAAAGCAAGCATATCTATCACACTGAGGACATTTAAACTTCAAGACTCCGTATAAGAAATGGAAAGGGAGGTGGATATTTTTTGCTGTTTTAAAAATTAAATAGGCAGCAAGTATTGTTTTTTAAATTATTATGAAGGACAAGTTTAAGCTTTGTTGTAATGTGCGTTGTTTGCCTGGACTGCTCAAGACCTGAATGCTTGTGTAGGAGGAACTTTTTGAGTTGGCTTCTTAAATACCTTCAAGCTGTTTCACATCTGATACTCCTTGATGAAACATAGGAGCCTTGTCTTATAACAGGCTTATTCAAAGTGATATAAGCTACCAAAGTGAGATCTTGGAAGAGTGTTGCTGTTCTCATAATGTAATAAAAATACCATAATGATAAATAGTGTGTAATAAGCATGTCGTAAAAACAAATTTTATATTTCCAAGATCACTACTTTTATAATTTATACTCAGGTAAAGGAGAAAATCCCTGGAAATATTCATTTTTAGGAGGGGGTTCACGAGACTTGACATTTTAGTGATAGAGGTTCACAGGTTGTTAAAGTTTGGGAACCACTGCTGTAAAGTAGTTCACCTCGGGTAACAAGCAATTTTCCTCAAACATATAATTGATTTTCCAGTCACAAGCTGCAGCAAACATTTTCACTGTCAACATTTGCCTGTCATTAAACATTTGCTAGCATTTCTGTTAGTCCAGTGACTTTCGATACTCTGCTGGGTACACAGTGTCACAGCATTCACATGATTGTGCCACATGCAAAAGTTAATGCAACTGTAAGGTTAAAAAAAATCCACATGACAGCTTCACAGAATAAGGATTAAGTATAATGTTTCATGAGTATCTTTCAGTAAAGACCAGTGCAATTAGTTTTACTGATCTGTGGGTATTTTCTCAGCTCCAACTGTAGATGAATACAACTCCTCTCCCCCTTTATACGTAGTTTACAGAGTTTTATTGAATACAAATATATTAGGAAAACACAAAGCATTTCAAAATATATTTTTATATCATGTCACTGAACATTTACACAAATATTAAAACAAAAACAAAAACAGATGTATCCTTTGGAAAAAAGTAACTTACGGCTCTATCTCTCCTGGCTTGCTCAGAGGGATGTTTTTTGGGTGTGATGTTTCCATTATTAGATCCAGTCTTCACTGAGATCACAGAAGCAGCACTTCTGGGTGTAGAATCAGATATTTTCTTATGATTTTTGGCTGTTTTTCTTTAAAGAAAATGGCAACAACAAAAAAGGACAAAGGCTCTAAGGACAAAGACTTTAAGATGTTGTGGTTTAGACTACCTTATTAAATAGATGCCATCCAGCTACAGAACCCTTTCACATTTATAGAAAATATTTTAAATTTCCACAGATTACAGAGTTTCTATCTGAAGTGCTAAACACTGGGCTTGGTTTTCTCTGCTTTGTATCTTGTATAACAGTGATCTCCAACCTTTTTATGCAGAAGATCACTTTTTGATTTTAAGTGCAATCCAGGATTTATTCGGGCGCTGCCCCGAGGCCCCGCCTCGCTCACTCCATCCCACCTCTCTCCGTTGCTCGCTCTCCCCCACCCTCACTCACTTTCACCAGGCTGGGGCAGGGAGTTGTGGTTCGGGAGGTGGTGCAGGCTCTAGGCTGGGTTCGGAGCATGGAAGGGGACTCCAGGCTGAGCCTGGGGTAGGGGGTTGGGGAGCGGGAGGGGGCTTGGGGTGCAGGCTCTAGGAGGGGGCTCAAGGCGGGGGCAGGGGATTCAGGGTGCAGGAGGGGGCTCAGGGTGTGGGCTCCCGCAGGACGGCACTTACCTCGGTCGGCTCCCCGTTGGCAGCGCAGAGGGGCTAAGGCAGGCTCCCTGCCTGCCCCACACCGCTCCTGGAAGTGGCCAGCACACCCCTGCAGCCCTTGGGTGGGGAAGGCAGGGGTCCCCGCGTGCTGTTCCTGCCTGCAAGCACGGCCCCCGCAGCTCCCATTGTCCGCAGTTCCCCATTCCTAGACAATGGGAGCTGCAGGGGAGATGCTTGCACACGGAGACACCCCCCTTTCCCCCCAGCCGTTCCGAGAGCGGCATGGGGCCGGGGCAGGCAGGGAGCCTGCCTTAGCCCCACTGCACTGCCGGACTTTTAGCAGCCAGATATCACAATAGACTGTCAGAGGCTCCAGGATCGACCAGTTGATCGCGATCTACTGGTTGGTGACCACTGCTGTATAGTCATTTTCAGCTGTGCAAAGTTAGAATGTTAGTGGTACTTTACACTGATTTGCTAGTAATTTATATCCACTTTGCATAGGTGTAAGTGACTGCACAGTGTACAAACCAGAAGACAATAAGGCTCATCCATGTGGGGAAATAAATATTTGGCAATTAAGTTTATTGCCATTATGTCTCAAAAACTGGGAGCAATGAAGTGGTTAACCAAATCTGATGACAAATTTTATATTCAACTTTTTTGTCCAACTTCTAGTTAAAAACAAGCAAATAGCAAAAGGAACTTGTCTTTTGGTGATTTTTGATATGATGAAGTGGTCTTAACACAGACTGATAAGGAAACGCAAGTGACGACATATTTCCTATCCATATTTCAGATTTATTGTCTGCCTTTATCTCACTTTTCTATTCAGTGCAAGAATTGATCACAGATTTACTATAGAACTTGGAATTTGCACAGAGTTTATTAACCAGATGATTTGTAATTTTCTCAAATGTCACAGAATGGTTTCTAATATTTGCCATTATCTCCTCTCAACTTGTGAGCTCACTCTGGTCTGTGTATGCTAGAATTGTCAGAAGGAGAGCAGCAGTCCTGTTTTTGTTTTATTTAAATATGAGATGCATGAACTGGGATAAACGCAGCGACTGGGGAGAGTGCGTCTCTCATTATTCAACATCCTCTCTCCCATAATCCAAGCTTTTTTCTCTCTCTCATTGTCTGGCACTGAATGAAGACCAGCCTCCACAGGCTCTCACATGTCCCAATCTGAAAGCTACTTCCCCCTCTTCTTAAGCGATCATGATGCTCTTCCTCCAGCCAGAAAGAGAAGTAAACAGACCCTTCAGAACAGACCCTATGGGTATGTCTATACTGCAGTTAAAAACCCACAGCTGGCCCATCTCAGCTGACTCGGGCTCGTGGGACATGGGCTACAGGGCTGTCAAATTGCATTGTGCATGTTTGGGCTCAGGCTTGAGCCCAAGATCTGGGACCCTGTGAGGGGGAGGGTCCCAGAACCCAGGCTCCAGCCTGAGCCCAAAGTCTACGCCAAAATTCTACAGTCCCGCGCAGCCCAATGAGCTCGAGTCAGCTGACATGGGCCAGCTGCAGGTGTTGAATTGCCGTGTAGATATACCTTAATTCTACTCTGTGCATTGGTGGAAAGGTAGTGCTCATGCTTCCTTTTCACGGTCCAAGTGTATCACAGCTGCAAGAGACTTCAACCTTATTAGTGCTGAGAGTCTCCAGATTACTCCCAAAACCAGGTCTTCTCCATTGCTCCAGCCAAGCTTCCTTAGCTTTTTAACTTTATCAAATTGAGGATTACAATGGGATTCTCCGGTTGTCAATAATAAAAGAACAACCTCTGATTTTCAAATAAGATTGTTAATCAGGGAACAATCTATGTGGCACATCACTTTAAAATTCTCTATGCCCACAATACTTTGCCCTTTATAGCATTTACCTTTTGAGGATCTAATTGTTTTAAAATATTAATGAATCCTTACAACTTTTCTGTTAAGTAGGTCAATATTACCATGACCATTTTACAGATGGAGAATACAGACAGTCAGACAGGTTAACCAACTTGCCTAAGGATCATCAGTTCCAGAGCTATGAAGAAAACCTGGGGTGTCCCAATCACGTACTCTAATGAGTAATCTACTCTCCCATCTTTCACAAGTTATAATATACTAAAATCAACAGTGGACATGAACCAAACAACATGGCATTTTCCCCCCAAATAATGGATACATTAAGAATAAGGTGTTTAGTTTTTCTATAAAAAGAAATATTGATTCATTGCAGTTAAGTACTAAGTGCTCCTAATTAGGGCAGCCAAATACAACTTCTAACATTTATTCAGGTAAGACTTTTCTGTCTGGCTGGTTTCAAACACTCACCAAAGTGAATGAACAATAGGAGGATTTACTTTCTGAAGGCAATATGCAATCCCAAACTTAAATCCACTTTCCTTCTACATAGGCCTAATGTAACTAATTTCCATCTTCTCTCTTAGTTGTCTCCGGTTATAGTTCTCAAATAATTCCTTCCCTCAACAATCTCAAAAGATCCTTTCTGCCCCATACCCTGCAGTTACACACAGCAAAACCAACTTCAACATCCAGCTCCGAAATCTGGCACAAATTGTAAAACAGTGATTACAACATTATGCTCAACAATCTGTTACCCAAACCAATAATTTTATATAGAACTATTAATAAAATAAATGTATCTTACGCCTTTGTGGCTGCCAAAAACAGAGAGATTTGGCGCTTGATATACGGTTGCCTTAGTATGCTTTTCACATTGGGTCTTTCTTCAGGCTTTTTGCTAAGCATAGTTCTTATTAGTTCTGACAGTTGTGGACTGTAATCCTTTGGCATTGGTGGCAGCTGTAATTGTATTGAAAGGATACATCGTATTATGAGAATGAGTGGATTGCTAAAGTTCATAATAGGAAGCTGATTGTTTTGATGATGACATCAATGTACAGCAAACAAAAACCATTTACACATTTGCCTACAGGAATTGCTGCATTATTTGAGCATTAGGGCTCTGATTCAGCTAGGTACTTAAACACATCCCTAACTTTAAGTGCAGTAGTCCCACTGACATCAATAGGCCAAGTGCTTAAGTATCTTACTGAACAGAGAGGTTTGTGTAAAGTTTAATGAAAGAACTCTATACAATTTTTTTCTTAATGATCAGCTAACCACAAAATACTGCCAATATACACAAAAGGTTGCATATAAGAAAATTAATTCCCTGGTAAGCTGGATTTAGAAATTTTAAAGCAAGGTATTCAAAGCTGGTCAGTTGTACTTTCTAAGATTTGCAAATGAAAATTTAGTCACAGAGAACCCTCAGTTTATTTAAAATATTTTTGTTACAGCTGAAGATCAGGATTTAAATGTGTTTTTATAACATGCCAAACCAAATAAGGAACTAACATTGAGCTAAAGTAATCCAGCTGTATATGTCAAACAAGAAAATACCCTGAGATGATTCTTTGCATAATGTTAAAAGTGGAAACTTTATACTTGAAAGTGCTGAAGTGACTTATTTCCTCCAATCTACTAGCTGCACAAGGTGAATATAAGAAAATTCTAGTGATACCTTAAAAAGAAACTACTTTCTGGATCTGCCATTACATCAGTAGGTACCCACATCTCACACCAAACATTAGAATGGACAGGATGATGCAGTGTTCCCATCATACGTGGGGAAAAAATTATACTAACCCCACAAATCAGAGTTGAAATTCTTACTTTTGATTGAAAACAGTTATCTCAAGTTCCAAACACAAGATTGGACTACAGGTCTGAACATACAGATTTTGCATGATTGAGTATCCACATCAGAAGGGTCTTCATACTGTAGCATATTTCCAAAATGTTTTCACTGAACCAAAACAACTTTAGATCAGTTTTTACCTTTCCTTCAATAATTCGATAAACTAAAGAGTTCATGTCTTTAGCGTTGAAGGCATGTTTCAACGTGGCCATTTCATAAACACAACAGCCCAGAGCCCAAACATCAGACTGTGAAAAGAAAACCAGAAAAATCAGCATAAGCGCTTCAGATGCAATACTGAAAATTTACTTTTAAAAAAGTAGATAATATGCTCCTGAACAGCCCATTAGGAACAGACTGTTATGCTGAGTTGGCAGCCACTATAGTTAAGATCACAACCAAATTCCACTATAAACTTTTGGTTGTGGCCTCAGGTAACAAAACTGGTTTATACTGAGTATGGCCACATTGACTCTGAAGGGTAAGGAGAATTTTTCTGCAAAGCGTGAAGAAAGTTGGTCTGTTACTGAGTTACAGATCATTAAAAAAAAAATATATCCTGATTTCAAATACTGGCTTGTCTCTAACATTTCTTTGAGTTCCTTTAGCTCCAAAGAGTTCTGAAACTAATTCTTTCTTCAGACTTCCCATATACAGTAACTCCTCACTTAACATTGTAGTTATGGTCCTGAAAAATGCGACTTTAAGTGAAACAATGTTAAGCGAATCCAATTTCCCCATAAAAATTAATGTAAATGAGGGGGTTAGGTTCCAGGAAAATTTTTTTCCACCAGACAAAAGACTATATTAAACAAACAATTTAATACTGGTACACAGTGATGATGATTGTGAAGCTTGGTTGAGGTGGAGGAGTCAGAGGGTGGGATATTTCCCTTACTGCTAAATGATGAACTAGCAATTGGCTGAGCCCTCAAGGGTTAACTCTCTCACTCTACAAGGCAGCAGGAATGGGGGAGATATGCGCATTTCCCCTTTAAGTACACTGCCTTGTTAATTAGATCAGCAAGCTCCCTCCTTCCTGAGCCCTGGTGTCCCCCCCCGGCTCTATGGAAGATGGGGTAAGCGGGGTGCAGGAGCAGGGGGGAGGGGTACACCCTGACATTAGCCCCCCCTCTTCCTTCCCTCCCCCCCACACAGCAAGAAGGAGTCTCGAGGAGCAGCTCCAAGGCAGAGGGCAGGAGCAGCACATGGCAGTGGGGGGAGGGACAGCTGCAATTGCTAGCCTGCTGGGCAGCTGCTAAACAGGGAACTTAGGGGAGAGGGGAGCTGATAGGGGGGCTGCCGGTCCACCCTGGTTCCAAGCCCCCATCAGCTAGCTGCAACGGGCTGCTCTTCCTACAAGCAGTAGACAAAGCAGGCGGCTGCCAAACAACATTAGAAGGGAGCATTACACAACTTTAAACGAGCATGTTCCCTAATTGATCAGCAACGTAAGGTTAACTGGGACGACTTTAAGTGAGGAGTTACTGTAGTTACATCTCACTGAAATCTCAGCCATAAACTATTTGTGAATAATATAGATTGCAATTAAGCAAAGTTATGTCCATAATGTTTAAGTCCCAATCCTGTACTGTGAACTACACATGCAGATTACTGCACCCATGTAGAATTCCAGACTTTCAATGGAGTTCCAAGCAGTGTAGCCGCACACCAACATGAATCATGAGCTTCGTAATGTATGTGAGGAAGAGAAAACATTTTACTCACTGGTGGCCAGCTGCAGCTTGGAGAAAACTGGAAGTCTTTCTATATTTAATTATAGTAACAGAAGTTTTTCCTTAGTTCACGTTTTTGGTACATGTGGCCTACAGCTGCGATTTAATTAACGGAGGGGCATACTTTTGTTTTTTTTAAATATGCAATGTAATATTTCAGGGCTGTCCCTAGCCATTTGGGTGTCCTACTCAGCCCCCCAGGCCTTCCCCGCCCCAGGGCCTGGGAGGCAGGAGCTGTGGGGGGCCACTTTTGGGGGCCTCACAGGCCCAGAGTGGCCTGGGGAATTAGTGGGGGGCTGGGAGCAGCCCGCTCCACTTCCCTTGCCCCGGCCCCAGCCGTGTCGCTCGGGGGAGGAGGCTTGTTAGGATATAGATATTCAGGCCTGTCTGTAAAGGCCTATACTTTAAGAATTTAGGTGTATTCTTATCACTTACCTAGTTATAGAGGTATAAAAGAAAGAATCAAAATCACTGTCTGTGTAAGGGCCTTCTCTTACTGTGACAGTCTGAGGCCTGGTTCTTAGGCTAAGGCCTTCGGCTAAGCAGCAGAGGCCAGCCATAAACTGGGAAGTGTACGGTCACATCCTCACATTCCAAACTAGTCACATTGAAATAAGGTGCTATTGGGCTGTTAGGAATATCAGGACAGGATTGTATTCCTATCACCTCCAGAGAAAGGGAAGAGCCTAGAAGATGCAAAAGGAAATTTAGTTTGATAGCATCCTGTCTGGCAAGAACTCACTTATCAATAGCTGGGATGTGAAATCCTCATTTCTGTATTGTTCTATCACTGTAGTCTCCACTTCCCTATTGCTTGTCTGTATAATCTCTGTCTGGTTCTGTGATTGTTTCTGTCTGCTATATAATTAATTTTGTTGGGTGTAAACCAATTAAGGTGGTGGGATATAATTGGTTAAATAACCATGTTACAGTATGTTAGGATTGGTTAGTTAAATTTCAGTAAAGTGATTGGTTAAGGTATAGCTAAGCAGAACTCAAATTTTACTATATAGTCTGCAGTCAATCAGGAAGTAAGGGGGGAATGGGAACAGGGAATGGGGGTGGGGGAATTGGAATCATGTTTCGCTAAGTGGGGGGGAATGGGAACAGGGACACAGGCAAGGCTCTGTGGTGTCAGAGCTGGGAAGGGGGACACTGAGGAAGGAAACTGTAATCATGCTTGCTGGAAGTTCACCCCAATAAACATTGAATTGTTTGCACCTTTGGACTTCGGGTATTGTTGCTCTCTGTTCATGAGAGAAGGACCAGGGAAGTGAGAGGGTGAAGGAATAAGCCTCCTAACAAGGCTTGGGGGAAGGGATCCCGCACTCACCGGCAGTGGCGGGAAGCGGAGCAGCCCGGCCCCAGCCCGCCCTACTCCGCCAACTCCCAGCTGCGGCGCTCCACTTCCCAACCTGAGCAACATGGCTGGGTCCGGGCCAAGGGAAGCGGAGTGGGTTGGGGCCGCGTCTCTCCGCTTCCCGCTGCCGGTGAGTGCCGGGGGCTATCCTTTCCTCGCACTCACCAGCGGCGGGAAGCGGAGCGCCGCGGCTGGGAGCTGGCAGAGTAGAGCAGGCTGGGGCCGGGTTGCTCTGCTTCCCGCCACTGCCGGTGAGTGCAGGGTCGCTGGGGAAGAGGCAGAGCGGAGGGAGTTGTCCGGGGCCCCACGCCCCACTGGGGATGGCCCTGCCCCTTGCAGGGAGGGCCAGCCGAGAGATAGGGCTGGTCGCCGGGGCTGGTGCTGCCACATATGCAGCACACAGCTGCTTAGGGCACCATGAAATTTGGGACAATTTGGTGCCCCAAATTTCATGGTGCCCTAAGCAGCTGCATATGCCTAAGGACAGCCCTGCAATATTTCACATGTACATTTATTTAAAAGACTGTATAAGCCATAGGCGCCGACTTCTTCTGGCGTCGGTGGGTGCTCAACTCCTCCTTGTCCCCGGCCCCGCCCCCATACCAACCTCTTCCCCAAAGTCCCTGCCCCAACTCCGCCCCCTCCCACCTCCATTCCAACCCCTTCCCCAAAGTCCCTGCCCCAACTCTGCACCTCCCTGCCCCTATTCGACTCCTTCCCCAAATCCCCACCCCTGCCCCGCCTCTTCCCCTGAGCACACCACGTTCCGCTCCTCTCTCTCCCTCCCAGAGCTTGCTACAGCTGTTTGGTGGCGGCAAGCACTGGGAGGGAGGGAGGGGGAAGGAAGAAGCGGAGACATGGCGCGCTGGGAGGAGGAGGTGAGGCGGGGAGGCTGGGAGCTTGGCTGCCAATGGATGCACAGCATCCACTAATTTTTCCCCGTGGGTGCTCCAGCCCCGGAGCACCCACAGAGTCGGCACCTATGTTATAAGGTGGGAGTATATTTGAATATTGAGCTACCTTCCCTTACATGTTCATCTCCATACTTGTAAATGCTTATTAGGTTTTTTTGGTTTGTTTTCTTATTACATACATAATAGCAATTTTAAAGATAAAGCCTTTCACAATTACCTTAGGCTTCATATGTCAGTGTCCTAACATACATTTAAACAAAGATTTTTCTTTGCACTGGAATTCTAACTTACACTGATACAGTCAATTGACAAAACCTGGTCCTAACAAATTAACACAAGTTGACAATTCACGTACACTAAAGAAAACTAAATTCCTTTAAGATAGCTTTTTGTGATTAATTTCTTCCCCTGTGGGTAATAGTAAAAAAGACAGCAAAAGTTAATCAGCAGTCCCCAAAAAGTGCTTTTTACACAGGCATTACTTTCATAACACACAAGATAGTACTGCTCTATGGTTAATAGGTGAGCCAACAAAATAACTCGCATTATCTTCTAGATAATTTATAAACTTCTCAGAGTTTAAGGCTCCCTTAAGTCAACTAACACAATTGGGGCCAATATTTGCATCAATATACTTTACCTTGTAGTTGTAAGGTTTGTTGGAGAACAGTTCAGGACTCATATAATAAGGTGTGCCAATGAGAGTACTGGCCATATCATACTGATTTTCTAACACTCTGGCTATTCCCAGATCTCCCACTTTGATTATATTTGTCCTGGTCAGGAAAACATTTTGAGTTTTGAGATCTCTGTGTAGAATGTGTTTTTCATGTAAATACTGAAAAATAAAGTATTTCAAGCAAGTTAAACAGTTAATTCCTTCTTTTCCTCTGACCAGAGTCAAAAAGGAAAAAGTACAAATGCAACAAAACTACACGTCACTATACAAGAGATGAATTACAGTTAATATCATACTAATCTGTTCATGTTAACATATGTATATACACAACTTGGTTATTTCTTTAGTTTAATGTGCCTATATAGAAGCAAAACGTGCAAAATTAAGGTTGAAACTCAGTCCTTAACTCACTCTCCACTGTGTTTTATTGCAATTGATTTCAGACCCAATCCTGCAGTCCTAGTAAGGAATTTTGTCTGAATTAAGGACTGTATGAAGTCAGTGGGAATTTTGCCTGAGTAAGAATTGCAGGATTAGGCCGATGATGAACAAGATCAGATGCTATTGGGGACATTTGCATTCCTAGCCACAAACAAACAAACGTAGGAATGGCCATACTGGGTCCATCTAGCCTAATATCCAGTCTTCCAATAGTAGCCAATGCCAGATGCTTCAAAAGGGAATGACAAGAAGAGGGCAACCATCAAGTGTTCCACCTCCTGTCACCCAGTCCCAGCATCTGGCAGTCAGAGGCTTAGGGATATCCAGAGCATGGGACTGCATTCCTGATCATCTTGGCTAATAGCCATTGGTGGACCTATCCTCCATGAACTTATCTAACTCTTTTTTGAATCCAGTTATAGTTTTTGCTTTCACAAATCCGCTGACGACAAGTTCCACTGGCAAGTTAAAAATAGAATTTTCACTCCAACATCCTAGTTTCCTCCATATCGTCTTTAAAAAAAATCTTTATTATTGTAATGATTTTTTTGTGATTTGATTCCCTTTACATTTTTAAAATGTAACAGACTGAAGCAGCTTCCAGTAGAACTTATGAGTTAATGGTCTGGAAATTTTCACTTAAAACGTAACTTAATTACAGGAGCAAAATAATAATGTTTTTTGTGCAAACACTTCTTGGTTAAAATTAGTTTTTAAGACATTATCAATAAGTTTCAGCACGGAGAAAACGTGTATAATTGAGTTGCAAACCCCTGGAAACAGAGGGTTATGAATAACAGAAACAGCCCCTTAATTAGAACAAAACTTGCTTATATTCAGAACTCTATAGTTATGGGCTACAATTACAATTAACTGCCAACCATCATGTCACATTGTCTACAATACTGAAATGATGGAGGTAAAGTATACAACAGCAACTCTTTTTCTACATAGCTATCTTAGGTTGACATTGATAATCTGTAAGCAAAGTTAACACATCAAAACTAAAATTAAGGGTTTTTTAATGGAAAGCAAGCAAAAACAGACCTATTTCTTTTAAAACTAAGAAGTTATATGTTACAGTATATTAATACCTGCAATGCCATGGCAATCTGGACAAACCATTCCACCACCTGATTCTCTGGCAAAGGTTTGCCTTTCTGCTCTTTAAGTTTATGATACAGGTCCCCTCCTTCACAGAAGCCCATGACAATATATAACAGGCCATCTTCCCCCTCCCAGGACTCCCTGTAGGTGACTATGTTGGGGTGTTTCAGCTGAGACAACAACTGGGCTTCTTGTTCTGCTGCTTCTCTCTCTCGGCTGGATGCATGTTTAAGGTTTAGCTTTTTAATGACATACTGCAGAGGAAAAAAAAAGATTTATAATGAAAACATCAAAGCTATTATTGAAACACACTGGCAAATTCTAAAAATCTATAAAACAATTTTTTAAAATAGTTACATTTAACAGTGTCCATTATGTTGTAAGAATGGAACAAATGTCTTCCCCCTCACAAATGCACAAAACTGAAATTTAAAACTTTACATATATTATAATTTTAAATCTAAATGCCACCATTTGTATTTTCTTCAGGTAGGCATTTACTGGTATTATCCTTGCAATTTGCCTTCTTGACGATCCCTAATGTCTATCCTAGTGCTAATCTGCAATAGTTATTAAGCCATCTGCAAATTAGAGGGGTAGTTGTCACGGAGTTTGGGGGAGACAAGGCCCTGCACCCCCGGCTTCCTGCGATTCACCATGACTCTCAGCCAGCCAGTAAAACAGAAGGTTTATTTAGCGGACAGGAACACAATTCAAGACAGGTCTTGCAGGTACAGACCACAGGACCCCCTCAGTCAGATCCATCTTCGGGGGCCAGGAGGTCTGTCTGGCCTCCCCTCCATTTTCCCAGCCAGCTCCAAACTGAAACTCTCCAGCCCCTCCTCTCCCTTTGTCTCTTTCCCAGGCCAGGAGGTCACCTGATCTCTTTGTTCTTCAACACCTTTAGTTGGCAACTTTGCAGGGGAGGGGCTCAGGCCATTAGTTGCCAGAAGACAGGGTGTCGGCCATTCTCTGTGCAGACAGGATCACACTGGCCCCCTAGGGCTCTGCAACAATCATACACCCCTAGACACTTGAGAAATGCATAGGGGAAACTGAGGCACCCACACAGTATTCAGAGAAAACATTAAGAACATTCCCACTTCGTCACAGTAGTAATTGAAAATTTTGAAGGAGAGTAAAAACTGATCAGATCTTCCCTTTTGCTCTTTCCTATAATACAAGACACACTGAAGAAATTAAAAGTAGGTTCAGTTAAAACAAATAAAAGGTAATAATACTTCTTTTTACATAGAGTGGTGGCCTTTGCACAACACTACATGCTAAATTGTCCAAGAGATCAAAAGTCCGAATCAGCCTGTTACATAAAATTGCCTTTAAAATTTGCTTACTTTCAGAAGCAAACTATGGTACAAACTGGACTGTTTACATTAAAAAGAACTGTGATAAGGGCTCAAGGCTCCTGCTAAAGTCAATGGTTGGCATGATAACGAACTGAAAGATTCTACAAGTGAAGGGAAATGTTTGTAGTAGAAATAATCGCAATGTATTCTGATTGGTTAATTTTAATAGAATGAGGATGCTACCCCTTCTTGGAGGAGTCACTAAAGAGGGGCCATGGGGTGTATGGAATGGAAGAAGCAAGCTTTACCCACATGGCTACCACCTCCACAGTCTCCAGGGACCAACCATGAGACCATTGGGCCTTTGCTGTCCTGATCCTGAAAGACATCCTGACCAGACAAGATCAAAGAAGGAAAGTGTGGGCCCCTTACTGAATGAGGGAGGCAACCTAGTGACAGAGGATGTGGAAAAAGCTAATGTACTTAATGCTTTTTTCCCCTCTGTCTTCACAAACAAGGTCAGCTCCCAGACTGTTGGACTGGGCAGCACAGTATGGGGAGGAGGTGACCAGCCCTCCGTGGAGAAAGAAGTGGTTCGGGACTATTTAGAAAAACTGGATGAGCACAAATCCATGGGGCCGGATGCGCTGCATCCGAGGGTGCTAAAGGAGTTGGTGGATGTGATTGCGGAGCCATTGGCCATCATCTTTGAAAACTCATGGCGATCGGGGGAGGTCCCGGATGACTGGAAAAAGGCTAATGTAGTGCCCATCTTTAAAAAAAGGGAAGAAGGAGGATCCGGGGAACTACAGGCCAGTCAGCCTCACCTCAGTCCCTGGAAAAATCATGGAGCAGGTCCTCAAGGAATCAAACACTTAGAGGAGAGGAAAGTGATCAGGAACAGTCAGCATGGATTCACCAAGGGCAAGTCCTGCCTGACTAACCTAATTGCCTTCTATGATGAGATAACTGGCTCTGTGGATGAGGGGAAAGCAGTGGATGTGTTATTCCTTGACTTTAGCAAAGCTTTTGATACGGTCTCCCACAGTATTCTTGCCGCCAAGTTAAAGAAGTATGGGCTGGATGAATGGACTCTAAGGTGGATAGAAAGCTGGCTAGATCGTCGGGCTCAACGGGTAGTGATCAATGGCTCCATGTCTAGTTGGCAGCCAGTTTCAAGCGGAGTGCCCCAAGGATCGGTCCTGGGGCCAGTTTTGTTTAATATCTTTATTAATGATCTGGAGGATGGTGTGGACTGCACTCTCAGCAAGTTTGCAGATGACACTAAACTGGGAGGCGTGGTAGATACGCTGGAGGGTAGGGTTCGGATACAGAGGGACCTAGACAAATTAGAGGATTGGGCCAAAAAAAACCTGATGAGGTTCAACAAGGACAAGTGCAGAGTCCTGCACTTAGGACGGAAGAATCCAATGCACTGCTACAGACTAGGGACCGAATGGTTAGGTAGCAGTTCTGCAGAAAAGGACCTAGGGGTCACAGTGGACGAGAAGCTGGATATGAGTCAACAGTGTGCTCTTGTTGCCAAGAAGGTTAATGGCATTTTGGGCTGTATAAGTAGGGGCATTGCCAGCAGATCAAGGAACGTGATCGTTCCCCTTTATTCGACATTGGTGAGGCCTCATCTGGAGTACTGTGTCCAGTTTTGGGCTCCACACTACAAGAAGGATGTGGAAATATTGGAAAGAGTCCAGCGGAGGGCAACAAAAATGATTAGGGGTCTGGAACACATGACCTATGTATGAGGAGAGGCTGAGGGAACTGGGATTGTTTAGTCTCCAGAAGAGAAGAATAAGGGGGGATTTGTTAGCTGCTTTCAACTACCTGAGGGGGGGGTTCCAAAGAGGATGGAGCTCGGCTGTTCTCAGTGGTGGCAGATGACAGAACAAGGACCAATGGTTTCAAGTTGCAGTGGGGGAGGTCTAGGTTGGATATTAGGAAACACTATTTCACTAGGAGGGTGGTGAAGCACTGGAATGTTTTACCTAGGGAGGTGGTGGAATCTCCTTCCTTGGAGGTTTTTAAGGCCCGGCTTGACAAAGCCCTGGCTGGGATGATTTAGTTGGGAATTGGTCCTGCTTTGAGTAGGGGGTTGGACTAGATGACCTCCTGAGGTCCCTTCCAACCCTGATATTCTATGAAAGAAAGGGAACCAGATGACACCACCATCTCCATCAGCTTCAGCTAAATCCTGAACGTAACATGGAACATGAACCTTAGATTCCTCCCTCATGTTGTTTTCCTTCCCCACTTTATTTCTTCCGTTTTCTAAGCCTGCTAAGATACCATTCACAATGCTGTTGTGACTCTGTGACAAGAGGGGCACGCTAAAACAATGCCTTAAAAGCAATGACTTAAACTTTGCCAGTGTTGAATGTGCCAGGTCTTGTAGTAGCTGATATAATCATGTACTGTGCCTGTGTTTCTCTAGCAATGAGGCTGCAAGTAAATGTCAGCACCAGAGACAGAAACTGCATTTTCTATTTTTGTAATTCTTCTCCCCCTTTTGAGTGTTTGTCCTAAAGGATCAGATTAAAATATCTCAAAACCTTCTATTTTAATCCCAAAAGGGCAGTTAATATCTTTAATACCATCCAAAAGACTATCAAAGCAGGGTTTTTCCCCCTCATGAAAGCCTCTATACAGCTAAAAGAAAAGGAAATTGTTAAAATGAAAACCCAATTCTTTAAATTCTGAATTTTTTAACTTGTCTTTTTCTATTTAATAAAACTTTTAAAATGTTATAATGATGGCATGAAACCAACAATTATTTAAAATGATAACAGTTAAGTATGGTCTGGGGTAACATTTTAACATAGTGAACAAGGGTTTTATCAACATTTTCTCCTTTGTTTGGACCGAGATAACCCTTTATCAACAAAATTGTAGCCAATTTGTATAATCCAGGAGATCAGCACTAAACACCATGGCTGGACAATTTTGTGACTGATAACCTTTTTGTAACAGGTTCGGAGATAAGGATAATAAAATCTCCATGCTTCAGAGCATAAATTCTCGCAAGGGTCAGGAAGGAATGCCCCCTTGCAATGCATAACAGGCTACATGGAATCACAGAAGCAGGTATTGGTCCACACTGGAGGCTGAGCTGGAGCAAGAGGAGAAAGGACGGTCTTGCGGTCAAGGAACTGGACACGGACACGAACACAAACCAACCACTCCCCTAAGCACGCAGGGGGATGGGAAGGGGAAAACCAGACTCCCCTGCATCCTCGCACTCCTCCTCACACCATTCTCGAAAGGCCCGGGGGGGGGGGGGGGGGGCTGTTAAAATCGGGAGAGAGACAGACTCCGCTTCCCCAGAACCCCCACTCCTCTCACCAGGCTCCGGGACTGAGACGGGGGTCGGACCCGCCACAGGCCCTCCCGCGGCCAGCTCCCCGGTTACCTGTCTGTTGTCCTGCCGGTGCCGCACCAGGCTCACCTCCCCGTAGCTGCCCTTGCCCACGGCCCGCAGGAAGAAGTAGGCGGCCAGGGGCATCCTCCCAACCTCCGGCGGCCCCTCAGCGCTCGAGGGCCGGAGCCGCTAGGGCTCAGCTGCCGGGGCGCCTGGTGAACGTTACTGCTGCTGCCATAGAGATCGACAGGGGCCTCCCTCTACCATAGAAAGCACCGCACGTAAACACAAGCCCGCCTTCCTCTCTATGGTACAGCTCCTCACGTCACTCCTATGGCCACCTTGGATGTGGGCAACCTCCCTCAGTCACCTAAGCAGCCATTACAGATGTGGGCGTCCTTTCCGGCGGCCATCTTAGAATTTGAAAATTAATGCCCCCAGTATTGGTGCTAGCAGCTAGTCTCTTTAGCGTGGGCCTGCTGATGTAGCCCATACCACAGGTTTCCTGCCCAAATGGGGGGCTGCTCTGATTGTCTTCTGGCCTGGAGCCAAAACTCTTCACCTGAGTGGCACAAATGAAGAGGAGAGCAGCATGTGCCTCCCTACACACCCTCTCAGGGCAGCTGAGTTACCCAGAGACAGCAGGCCCAGAATGCACCCCTCCACTGCAAGCCAAGCAGCATGCGGCCCACCTAGAAGACAGGTCTCAGCATGCACCAGTCCATCTCAGGCCTACACTGATGCAGTCCATCTAGGAGACAGGTCCTACCATGCAATGCTCCGCCTCAAGCTCACAGTAGTGCAGTCCATGTAGGGGACAGGTCCCGCTTGCAGCACTCCATCTCAATCTCCGCAGGTGCAGCCTACCTAGGAGATGTATGTCTGGTACCAGCTAGATCTGCCTAAGGTGGGAAATTGAAAACCTATGATTTCCACCATAGCTACTCCCCTCTCTCGAGGCCGAAGTTCTTTCGTCATAAGACAAAAAACAACCCTCCAGAACCGAAACCTCGTTTCTGTTCAGTGCCCCTTTCACAGCTGCAGCACTGAAAGGCTTGAGGCTTTGGACAGATATTTAAAGTTGAGATTTTTTCCTCTTACAAAATACCTAAACTAAACACAATGTTATAGTTGAAAATTTACACCCCTATCATGGAAATAGTTAAGCATAAACCTGACTATTCACACACACACAGTTAGGTATGTGCTTAAGTATTTTTAGGATTAGGATCTAAAATGTTAAAAAGTCAGTAGATTCTTAGTTACATCAGCTTTATCTCAGGATCCATATATCTTTAACCACTCATCACTTATGCTGGAGAATGCTCCTTATTCCCCTTCTTGCCACATTTATTTGCCTGATTTACATCAAATTATATTTAACTAAATAATTCCTGATCTACCAACCTGCCACTTCTGGATTGGATAAGGCTATAGGTGTCTCCAGCTCATGAGAAAGTAAACAGCAGAAGGGCAGGAGCATGGAAGAAAGTTTTCTAAGCCAAGGAGGGGTAGGTACTTACATTTTTTTATTAAAGCTAATGTTTATATATATAATACACAGGTTAAGAAATGAGTGTCTGTACATCTGAGTATAGTTACTGCATTGGGGTTTGGACCTGTATGTGGAAAATGGGCAGGAATATGTGGAAGATGGGTTGGATGCATGTGTGCAAATGTAAGGCTAATGTTAGAACCATAATGGAGATTTGATTTTGTGACATTCAGTCACTCAGGTATAATGCAAAATGTTAATTTGGAAGAGCGAATATATTTTCTCTCTTAACTGTAATTAAAATGTTGTTTTGGCAGAGAGATTTTGCAAATCATTTTCTACAAACTTTGTTATAACTTCAAAAGTTCACTATTTGCTTTTTCCCTATTTGCCTAATGTTTAACCCCTGTTTTCACATTTGGTTGTTTATTAACAGACAGTAAACAGGGTACTATTTATTAGCACGTAACCCTTAAAGTAGAATTGCTCATTTTTCCAAGATGGAAAACCATCTGTTGTTTTACATTTTATTGGCATTGATTCCTGCGCTTGAAACATCAGACTTTTTTATAACACCTTTCAGGAACATCAAGGTAAGTAACTAAAATCCACCAGGTAGCTACTGCTTCCATGATTCATGCACCACTGAATGCACTAGGACCTAGGGTGGCCAGATGTCCCAGTTTTATCGGGACGGTCTTGATATTAGGGGCTTTGTCTTACATAGGACCCTATTGCCCCCCATCCCTGTCCCAATTTTTCACACTTGCTATCTGGTCACCAAACTAGGACCTTTGCCATTGACTTCTAGGAACACAGAATCAGACCTCAAGCAAACTGGGCAGGCATGCACCTCCTATGCTTCCAGTTGAATCAGGTGTCCCTGCTGTTCTGCTGGATATAGTGGTTATGCCAGGCAGATAGGGGCCTTGCATACTTCTGAATGAACCAGGTAGGTTAAGCCGAGAGAACTCCCTCTGCTGCTGAACTTAACATGAAAACGGACACTTCCCTATCTGTTGAATTTATGAGGTAATTGAGGCAGTTGATCATCTGTAGGGCTGCACAATGCTCCTGAGTCATCTATTGTAGAAACTTCTGTATTTCTGTTTTTAAATCACTATCACTTTCCTTACTCATAATAACCTTCCTCTGTTCTTCTGTCCTTCCATCCCTTACCCAAATATAAAAGAAGATGTTTTCAAGGTTTTTGTTTTTACAAAGGTAGAATAATAACTGTAGCACCTGATTATTGCACCTAAAAAATAAAACAAAATATTGGGGGTAAAAACCAACCAAAGAATATTAGATATCAGAGACACAAAATATTTTTCTGGTGATCATGTCCATTACCTGGGTGCCAGGACAGGATTGTACCCTTCAGTGTATTTTATGACAATATGGCAGAGCTTCCACCACATCTCTACGGGACACTTTTTTATACTTGACTAGATCTCAGTGTAAGAAAATGCTTCATGATATTCAGTCTAAATATTCTTTTTGCTCCATTTTGTGCCAATACGCCTAACAACAACAAACAATTTTTCTTCCTTCTCTGTGTTTCCATGTTTCAAAGACTTGTAGATGGTTATGGTAAGCTCCGTTTGGTAGCACTGTTGTCTCAGGGGGTAGGGCAGAGAGTTAGACCACTTCATTTCCATTGACTGGTTGTATATACTTTAGCAAGTCTCTTAACCATTCTGTGCCTTAGTTTCCTTGTCTATAATGTTTATCCACTTTGTCAAAGTACTTTGAGATGTATGACAGAAAATGCTCTTGAAATGACATGTATTATTATTTAGAGAGACGGTGGGGGAGGTAATATTTTTTTATTGGACCAACTTCTGTTGGTGAGAGAGACAAGCTTTCGAGCTAACACAGAGCTCTTCTTCAGGTCTGGGAAACTAACCCAGCTACAACAACACTATATACAAGTGCCATTATTTAGTCATTATGTAACACAATTATAAAGTTGTACCTGTTTCCTGCTCTCTTCATAAATTAGATTCGCCCATGACACTTAATAATTGTTATTGTTCTCTGTATTTCCTCTGATGCTGAAACCTTTCTGAATTTAAGATGCCCACAGCTCTATGCTATATTCCTGGTAAGGTATATGCAGAATCCTGTAAAGAGAAGAGCTGATTGTCCACTGTGGTATGCCACTTTTATGATGATATAATTCCATTGAAATAATGGAAATCCTTGTGTGGCATAGAGGTTCCTTCCCACCCCATTCCTGGCCCCCTGGGAGTAGGGGGTATGGCTCGAGGGACGGGGTGTGACAGGAGCAGTTCTGTCCTCTGGTAATCGCCAACTGCCATTGGGGCCACAGGCAGACAGGTGTGATTTAGAGCAGCTCTGGGTCTGCTCTAACTTGCTCTTGGGGGCCAAACCAACCCCAGGATCAGAGGTGCCATAAAACTCCCTTTGCACCTCCACCCCCTGCAGCTGTGCTAGGGCACAAAGTAAAATTGTCAATGGCAAAGCTTTTACTGGATAGACAGCCTTGGAAATTGAAGTCCTCTGCTTATTCACTGCATGGGTAGCAGTAGTAGAAGCTTCCTTACACTACCTTATTTATCAACTTAGCTTTGGAGGAACCTCATATAGGTGTATCGGGATTTTCAGTTTTCATGGCCTAGTAATTTCTTGGAGAAGTATAGTTCTTACAGAAACTATGATAAAGATATGTGAATGTAACACTTTTGCCAGGTGGAGTCGGCAGCAATAAGGGCTGGGTTCAATATCTAGGAGTTTCTCTGAACAATATAAAATAGAATTGGATATCTGAGGAAACTAAGCACCAACCCAAAAGGCAGTACTTCTCCACTCACAAGCATCGAGTCTGTGTATAACAAAAAAAAACTTTTAACAAAAAGGAAAAGGGAACCCAGCATTAATTTTGGAAAACACCTCAATCACGATATGAAAGTATGTAACCATAAGGAAACACCCACCCCACAGTATGTTGGGCAGTCTCCTTTGCCTCAGTTTCCCATCTTGTGGTGTCAAAGGGTACATCCAGACTACCCGCCGTATCGGTGGGTAGCGATCGATTTATCGGGGATGGATATATCGCGTCTCGTTAAGACGCGATATATCGATCCCCGAATGTGCTCCCCGTCGACTCCGGAACTCCACCGGAGCGAGCGGCGGTAGTGGAGTCGACGGGGGAGCCGCGGCTGTCGATCCCGCGCCGTGAGGTCCCAAGGTAAATCGATCTAAGATACTTCGACTTCAGCTACGCTATTCACGTAGCTGAAGTTGCGTATCTTAGATCGATCCCCCCCGCCCCAGTGTAGACCAGCCCAAAGTTAATGAACAAATGTCCCTTTAATATGCCACTCCCCTTTCCCTCCACTGCATCCCACTCACACTTGGTTATCCCTGGCCAGCAAAGACCCAGAGTTCAGAGCTGCGTTCACTTGAGTTCACCTCCGACCCCTGTAAGGGGCGGGGGGGGGGGGCCTCGAGCAATATCTCTGCTGCTGCCACTTGCCTCTGCAACTGGCTTGCTGCTGCTGCTGTATTATTTCTAATAAATACAGTGGTGGTTTTCTCTGCCACCACTTGCCACTGTAATTTGCTGCCGCTCACCACTGCTGCTGCTGTATTATTTCTAGTACCATCATTTAGCCCAGCTCTTAGTGATTTCACTGGATAGTGGGGAACCTCTCTGCTGCCACCTTAGGGTACGTCTACACTTACCGGAGGGTCCGGCGGCAGGCAATCGATGTTCTGGGATCGAT